GCAGCAGCATGGGTAATTGTGACGCCATCTGCGCGAGTCCAACCCGGGTAGGTGTTTCGTGCAGAACAACGGTGACCAGCCAGGGAAACAACACCATCTGCACGCCGCCGGGAATCAGCAGCAGGGCTGTACCGGTTAGATACCAGCGCAGTCCATAGTTAATACTGCGCCTGCCCGCGCCCGGGATCGTTGTATTAACGAAGTCCTGCCCAGGCTGCTCGCTCATCTGCGTCGGGGTCGTTGAGTAAAGCCGATTGGGTGTTGAACGTCATGGTGACGCGCTCTGAGGTGTTGTAGGCAGGCCAACCAGGGCTGTCACCGTTGATGAACGCAATCCACGCCTGGTGCATTTCATCAGCAAGTGCCTGGGGTTGCGCTCCCGGCCCTAAAAACACATCAACACCTGCGCGATCGAGGTTGTTAAACGTGAACGGGATCTCCAGTGCGTGGGTTGCCTTCAAGCGTCCACCAAACGCTCTGGATTCCCATGCAAACAGGTACATCCAGGTCTGCGCACCATGAGGTTCCCGGGCTTCTGCCAGACGTATGGCGGGGATGCGGAACATGTGGTCTGTGGTCAGGGCGATCAGTAAATCTTCGACAGAAGCGCGTGGTCGTGCTCGGCGATAAGCGGCCAGCACTGACTCTGCGCCGTAGCCGGCGGCAATGCGCTCGAGTTTTTCTTCAGAAATATCCCCATAACCCCACAAGGTGGTTTCGTGGGCGTTGCTGCCGGTTAACACGGCGACGTTTTTGCCACAGCCATTGGCAATGGCGTCTAACGGCGATGCGGGTAACAGTGGCGTGCCGTGGGCAGGATAAAATGGTGAAACCGCCACCCCAAGCTCGTTTGCCACCCCTGCACCCTGTTCAAAATGACCGATCGTGGCCTGTTGTGCAGCGAGAATATCTTCAACGCTGACCGCCTCGAGCGCCAGTGCCTGATCAATGCCGTCATGATCTGGCAGAAGCTGTTCGAGGAAAGTTCGGGTGACTTTTTCTGCAGCCGCCTTGGGCAGCGTGTGATGGGCACCGCCACTTTGCGGTATGGCGCGTTGAAACAGGCCCTGTGCTGCATCGCAACCCAGCAGGGTGGCAACGCTGAATGCGCCAGCAGACTCGCCTGCAATGGTGACGCGATTAGGATCCCCTCCAAACGCCGCGATGTTGTCCTGCACCCATTGCAGAGCGGCTATCTGATCAAGAATGCCATTGATCCCGGAGTTGGCGTAGGTATCGCCCAGGTGGGACAAGTCGGTATAGCCCAGAGCGCCAAGCCGGTAGTTGATGGATACAACCACAATGTCACCGTTCTTGTTGAACGCCGTGCCGTTATACCAGGGGATAGAGCCCTGTCCGGTACGGTAGCCGCCGCCGTGTATCCAGACCAGCACGGCACGCTTGCCGTCGTCGGCGGCGGGGGTGGAGACATTCAGGTACAAACAGTCTTCTGCATAACGCACGCTGGCACTGTCTGTCAGTCCACCGCTGGGCACCTGCGGAGCTGCGGGAGAAAATTTCAAGGCCTCTCGTGGTGCCTGCCAGGCTGGGTGTGGCTGAGGTGCTTTGAAACGCAAATTGCCAACTGGCGGTGCGGCATAAGGCACTCCCGCAAAAAGCAGTACGTCGTCCTTCTTTCGCCCCTGTATGGGTCCGCTGGTCGTTTCTACCGTGGTGCGTTCTAACACAGTTATCTCCCCTTGAATTTCTGCATGTGCTCATTATGGAACAGTTCATGGTTAAGCTGAACGTTAATTAACCACTGAGCTCATTTGACCCGGTGGCATGGAAACCCTACATTGCGCAGGCGTTTAAATTAGGGGTGGTGACGTGCACGGTAAAATAGCAGTGCGGGTTTGGTGGCTGAGTCTAGTGCTGGTTGCGCAACCGCTGTTTGCGGAACAGGCATCTGTGGCAGAGCCCGCATTTGGCAGAACCATGGCCTGGAGTGCGTATAACCTGGGCACCACTGGCTACAACCAGGCGGTGGCTATTGGCAAAGCCCTGAAAGACAACTACGACGTCAATCTGCGTGTTGTCCCGGGCAAAAACGATGTGTCCCGACTGATGCCTCTGATTCGTGGTCGCGTACAGTATTCGGCCAACGGCGTAGCTACCTATTTTGCCCAGGAAGGGGTCTTTCAGTTTGCTGATCCGCGTTGGGGACCATTGCCTCTGCGTCTGGTCATGATGTCTTACGGCGATTCCAATCAGGCGCTGGCGGTGGCGGGCGACCTGGGTATCAAAAGCTATGCGGATCTGCGCGGTAAACGAGTACCTTACGTCCGTGGTGCACCCGCACTGAACATACCTACAGAAGCGTTCCTCGCCTGTGGGGGGTTAACCTGGGACGATGTTGAACGGGTAGATTTCCCCGGCTATAACGCCATGTGGACCGGTGTGGTTAATGGCCAGGTGGATGCAGCTTATGCCACAACCGTTTCTGGTCCGACCCGTAAGCTTGAGGCATCACCACGTGGCATTTTCTGGCCACCGGCACCACACAAAGATAACGACTGCTGGGATGCGATAAATAAAGTTGTACCGTTTTTCACGCCACATATGGCGACCCGTGGTGCGGCTATTTCCAGCGCACAGCCGCACGAAGGGGCAACCTATCCCTATCCAATGTTAATTACGCTGCCGAACACTGAGGCGAAAGAGGTGCACGACCTGGCCAAGGTGATCCATCTTCATTACGACGAATATAAAGATGCTGATCCTGGTGCAATCGGCTGGGCGCTGGACCGACAGATCCTTAAATGGCAGGTGCCTTATCATGAAGGGGCGGTGCAGTACCTGCGTTCGGTTGGCGTCTGGGGTGAAGCAGAGGATGTGCATAACTCACGCCTGATCGCACGCCAGGATCTTCTCGCGCAAACCTGGCAAACCCATGTAAAGACTAACAAAGGCAAAGCGGATTTCATTTCCCTGTGGTATCAGATGCGCGCAGCAGCGCTCACAGCTGCAGGGTTCGATCCCGTCTGGCAGGATCCTGGACCAGGCTAACTGATGCAGGACTCACGCTTCGTGCGATACCTTGTTGCTGGCGTGGCTACGCTGGTTTTGATACTGGCCATGGATACGTTGCGGTTGTTCGGCAGTGAGCAATGGCTGGGTATGCTGGTGCGGGTAGATTCGCAGTATTTTTATGCGTTGTTCGCTTTGCTGTTACCCGTCGCCTATCTGGTTTATCCAACCAAGGCCTGGATTGACTGGCCGCTGGCGCTGCTCAGCTTTGCCATCCTTTGCGCGTTTTTTGTGACCGCAGAACAAGGTCTGGATGAAGCCTGGGAGTTTGCTGCGCCTGAATGGGCTGTGATTGCCGCTCTGAGTTTGTGGCTGTGTGTGCTCGAGGCATTGCGCCGAGCGGGTGGCTGGCCGTTGTGTGTGATCGCCTCGATGTTCTCTCTGTTGCCGCTATTCACCGACTATATGCCGGGTCCGCTGAGTGGCTTGTCTGCCAGTTGGCGGGATACGGCGTCCTATCATGCGCTGTCGATTGAAAGCATGTTTGGCTTACCGTTTCAGGCATTTGCCAATCTGGTGGTTGGTTTTGTTGTATTTGGCGTTGTATTACAGCATACCGGCGGGGGCAAGTTTTTCCTCAACCTGGCGTTTGCGCTCCTGGGGCAGCAGCGGGGTGGGCCTGCCAAAGTAGCTATTGTTTCCAGCGGTTTGATGGGCTCAATGAGTGGCAGCGTGGTAACCAACGTGCTGACTACGGGCCAGATGACCATTCCTGCCATGCAGAAAGCCGGCATGCGCCCGCACATAGCAGGTGGCGTTGAAGCGTGTGCATCAACAGGCGGGGTGCTGCTGCCACCCATCATGGGATCCACCGCATTCATCATGGCGACGCTGCTGGAAATTCCTTACGTTGATGTGGCAACCGCTGCGGCGCTGCCAGCGTTGCTGTACTTTTTCAGTCTGTATATGCAGATTGATGCATACGCAGGACGTGAACAACTTGCCGGGCTGAGTGTCGAGGAACTGCCTTCGATTCGCGAGACGATGGCGGAGGGATGGTTTTACCTTGGTGCTTTTGCGCTGTTGATTTTTCTGCTGATATTCATGCAGCGTGAAGCGTTAGCGCCTTATTACGCGACGCTTGCGCTCCTGTTCCTGAATCAGCTATCGCGAGAACATCGCATGGATATGTCCGGGTTTGTGACCATGCTGGCTGCAACCGGACGACTACTGATTGAACTCGTTGTGATCCTGGCCGGTGTCGGGCTCATTGTTGGTGCGTTGTCTCTTACCGGATTGAGCGGCACGCTGGTGAACGATCTGCTCAGCCTGGCTGGTGACCAGTTAGGTCTGCTGCTGTTGATGGGCGCTTTGACCAGCTTTGTTCTGGGTATCGGCATGACCGTGACAGCTGCCTATATTTTCCTCGCTGTTGTGTTGGCCCCTGCACTGGTTGGGCAGGATCTGCTGCCGCTGTCGGCACACCTTTTTATTCTTTATTGGGCGATGCTTTCCTTTATTACGCCACCGGTGGCGCTAGGTGCCTATGCGGCGGCTTCGATTGCTAACGCCAGCCCTCTGCAAACCGGATTTGCCGCCATGCGCCTGGGTAGCGTTATTTATGTTATCCCCTTTGTGTTTGTGTTAGATCCCAGCTTTATCCTGCATGGACCCTGGCACGCTACCCTGCAGGCAGTGGTTGAAGCGGTTATCGGTGTCTGGCTGATGGCTGGTGCGGTACAGTCTTTTCTGCCGGGCATCGGCCATCTCAATCAGATTCCGGGGCGGGTCGCGATCGGCTTTGGCGGTTTGGCCATTGCACTTCCGGACCTCGCGCTGGCATGGGCTGCGGGTCCGGAAAACTGGGTTCATCTGATCGGTGGGGTGCTGCTTGTTATTGTTGGTCTTCTACTGAACTGGTCAACGCTCAAGCAGGCCGCGGCGTCATAATCGGAAAGCGTCGAGGGAAACTGTCAAACAGGGTACCCAGGCGTGCCAGCGCTTCTACATCGCCGGTGATCTGAAGGTCATTATCCTGCATGAGCGACGCTGCGTCGGTCAGCCCCATCATCAATCGCTTGAACCCCATGGACGACGTTGTCACCGTGGCGGTGGGTTGGTCTGATGTTTTGTCGGGGTAGGCGTTTAAGACGCTGTGCCTGATGGTCATCAGCCAGTGCTCATCAATATCTGTCATGTGCAGATTCAAAGCCAGGTCGAGACCTTCGGCTGCATCGGGCAATAACCTGACTGCCATCACCTGAAACAGGTTTGCTAACGGCATGCCGCGGGCCATGCCTTCACTGGCGTTGAAGTTGGAGCCTTTGGGCAGGCCTTCACGCAGTTCCAGAGCGCCACATAAATAGAAGTTACGCCAGACTGCAGATTCTGCCTGATAGCCCATTTGTTCCAGCGCGTCTGCCAGTAAGGCGCGTGCATCAGTATGTCCGGGGTCGGTCATCATCACATGATTAAGAAGCTCGCCGACCCACCGATAGTCACCTTCGTCGAACGCAGCCTGTGCCAGCACGACCACACGATTGGCGCCACCCATGGCATCTACATATCGAGTTGCTGCTTCGCTCGGGGGCAGGGTATGCAGGGTTGCCGGGTTGCCATTGAAAAAGCCAAGGTATTTAACATACACCGCGCGCACGTTGTGGTGCAGGCTGCCGTAGTAGCCACGGTTGTAGAACTCATGGCCAAGCACATCCGGCAGGCTGATGCGTTCCGCTATTTCTTCTTTGGTATAACCCTGATTGGCCAGTCGCAACGTCTGATCGTGGATGTATTTATACAGGTCACTTTGTTTCTGCAGGTATTCAACGGCCTCATCCCGTCCCCAGATGGGCCAGTGATGGCAGGCAAACTGAATCTCGAGTCGATCACCAAATAAGGCAATGCTTTCGCGGATCTGGGCCGACCAGGCCAGAGCGTCGCGCACCTGTGCGCCACGCAGGGTATATACATTGTGCAGGTGGTGTGAGGTGATCTCGGCCATACACAGCGCTTTGAATTGTGGCAGATAGAAAACAAACTCTGCCGGTGCTTCTGTGCCTGGCGTCATCTGGAACTCAAATTCGATGCCATCCAGAGTTCGTGTTTCTCCTGTCTGGCAGACGTAGTCTGAAGGCACTATGAAACCGGTTGATCCCATTGACAGTGCGGCCCCCAGTCCCGTTGATACAAATGCCTGGGGTCCTGGTTTCAGCAGGTTACCGTACATGTACGTCGCACGACGTCCCATTACGTTACCCGCCAGCACGTTTTCACTTAACGCTTCCTGCACAAAGTGTTGCGGTGCGACCAGCGGCACCTTGCCGGAAGCGACATCTTCGGCGCTGACAACACCAAGAATGCCGGCAAAGTGATCAGCGTGGCTGTGAGTGATTAACACCGCACTTACCGGGCGCTCGCCAAGATGCTGATTCGCCAGTGCCAGCGCGGCAGCAGAAGACTCGGAAGAAGTCAGTGGATCGATGATGACCCAGCCTTTTTCGCCTCTGATCAGGGTCATATTTGCGATATCAAAGGAACGTACCTGGTAGACGCCGTCGGTCACCTCATACAAGCCGTTGTAAAGGGCGTTGAGTTGTGCCTGGCGCCAGAGGCTTGGATTGACCGTCGCAGGCGCTTCACCCTGCAGAAAATCCATCTCGCTTAAATCGTAAGTGACGTGCCCGTTGTCTCTGGTGATGGTCAAAGGTTCAAGCGTGGCAATAAATCCGCGCTGTGCATTATCAAAAGAACGCCGGTCGCTGAACGGTAGTGTTTGCTCAACAAGGCGCTGTGCAGATTGTGTGTGCTGTGTAGCTGGTTTGGCTTGTTGCTGCTTGCTATCCAATGGACTGTAATCCATCCTGGTTTCCCCCACGTATGTTTGTGACAGGTTGCGTTTGGCTGCGCTTGTTACGCCGCTGGTCGCACGCGCACGTCAACTTTCAAGGCCTGGGCACCGCCGCCGAGAATCGATCCGCGGGTAGGCGCGACATCGGCGTAGTCCCGCCCCCAGCCCAGAGTGATGTGTTGTTCAGACGTTATCAGGTCGTTGGTCGGATCAAAATCGATCCAGCCAAATTTAGGGCAGAAAACGGAAATCCATGCGTGTGAGGCTTCCGCGCCGACCAGGGTTGGCTGGCCGGGGATCTGACTGAGAATGTAGCCGCTGACGTATCTCGCAGGTAAACCCAGTGCACGGATGGTGGCAATCGCCACGTGGGCGAAGTCCTGACACACACCAATTCGTTTGGCGATGATCTCAGAAACCTCGGTATACACATTAGTCACGCCGCCGGTATAGGCAAATTCGTTGTGGATGTACTGATTGATGGCCAGTACCAGTCGCAGCACAGGTGCTTCGGGTTCGATGAACTGTTGAGCAAACTCGCGTGCAGCGTCTACATCAATATGCCGCGATGGATAGCAGAATTGTGCTGCCTGCCAGTGTTCGCTGCTCTGCGGCACCTTCATGGCGTCTACCACAGATTCCCATGTCGGGGAGAGATCCAGCATAAAATCACCCCGAGGGATGACATCCACCAGACACTCGGAGTCGATACGAAGCTTCTTGTGTGGTGTGTGCAGGCGCACTTCATGCACGGTATTGCCAAAATAATCCTGGATTTCCTGAATTTCAGTACCCACCAGCGATAGATTGATGTGGTGCTCCAGCAATGTCTGGCGGCCGAACATTTCTCTGGGTTTCAGGCGTAGAACCTGTTGTGCTGAAATCACCGGCATGCCGTAGTCAAATTCTGTGCAGTGTTTAACGCTATATTTCATTGTGAGCTGGGTAAGTTCTGTGTGTGTGCAAAATAGGTTGCTGTGACCAGTTCAGATAGAGTCCCGAGGGTGTTGGATAATCTTTTTAAGACGCGGCGAAGCTGCGTGCGATTGCCCGCCTTAGAGATGACATTGGCCATCTTTTCAGGTTCCGCCAGTACAAGTTCATGATAAGCAATGAGCAGAATACGCTGGGATTCGCTGAGGCCCTCATTTGACTGGTCAAGAGGCATTTCCGCCATCACTTCCTGCAGCTGGGTAATCTGATAGATCATTGAACGCGGATTGGTTTCGTCGAGTAACAGCAGATGTAACAGATTTTCCAACGTTGGCACATTCTGGTATCTGGATCGGTAGGTAATTGTGCTGTCGCAAAGGTCCAGCAGCAGGTACATATAGGTGCTGCCAGTACTGTGCGACACCAGTTCGTTCATCACCCGCAAGCCAAACTGACCGCGCTCCAGGCGGCGCCCAAGTTCAAGCAGACGCCAACCGTAACTGCGGGTCATATTTTCCTGTATCTGTCCGCTTAAACCGGACAGGCGCTCAATCAGCTGGTCCATTAATGCCAGCGCATCTGATACCTGTCCCAGGCGCCAGCGCTGCTGTGCAGGTGTCTGTGCCAGCGCGCGAAACATCCGCCAGGCGTCGCCAGATAAACGCTCGCGAACCTGGCTGGCGAGACGGTGAATGTTGTTGAGCAGCTTAAACAGGCCCACATTACTTTCCGGATTAAACAGCACCGACCACCATTCGCGAGCAATAACAGTTGTTGAGCTGACCTGGGTAAGCTGTTTTGCCTGTGCCAGGGTGAGCATGTCCAGATCCACCAGCAGTTGCACCGCGGTGTTCAGCAACATCTGCTGATCGTCGCTGCTGCCTTCAACCACATGGCTGAATAAGGAACGGTAGGCGCGTACTGCGCCTTCGCAACGCTCCAGATAGCGACCCAGCCAGAATAAATCGTCGGCAGTGCGACTGGGCAGATCCCGGTCGCTGCGCCTGGTCAGATGGGTGGGTTGGATCTCTGGTGTGTTGATGGGTTCCACCTGATCGCGACCGAGCCAGATGTCTTTGCTGATTTCTCCATCAGCGCTGGCAACGCGAGCGATGCCACCGGGCATCAGTCGATAGCCTTCTTCAGTCATACAGACAAACAGTCGCAACACCGTTGGGCCGGAAACAATCTGCCCTTCGTTGTTGACATAAGGGCTGTGAGACAAGTTGATCAGTTCACGTCCAATCTGGTTGTAAGCTGCGGTGTTGGCTTCGGTGTCAGTGGTCTGCAGGTTCGGATCCTGATAACTTTCAATGGTGCTGGCAAACAGTTCCGGGCGTCTGAAAGCTGAGCCAATGTGCAGTTGGCTGGCATTTTCGGCGACGTAAGCGGCTTCTTCAGGTTGGCCACACCACCAGGTCGCCAGGCTTGGCAGCAGTAACTCTTCGTCTAACAAGGATTCACATAAGCTTGGCAGAAAGCTCATAAACGCATCATTTTCAAGGACGCCGGAACCCAACGCGTTGGCGATGTGGACCTGGCCGCTGCGCGCGATGTTGGCAAGCCCTGCGACACCATCTTTACTGCGTGGGTCCAGGAACAGCTGGTCGCAGCCACTGGCCTGGGCATGTCGCAGCAGGCTGCCTACGGGCTTCAAACCCTCCAGGGTTTTTAACTGCAGGGTTTGTCCGCGGACAGTGAGGTCAGCACCTTCCACCACCGGGAAACCAAAATACTGGCCCAGATAAGCATGTTCAAAATAATTTGAGTGATCCGGTCCTGGGCTCAGGATGGCGGTGATGCCCTCAGGCGTTGTTTGTGCCGCCCTGTCAGTGAGATGTTGAGCGAACGCGCGATAGAACGCAGCCAGACGCTGGGTGCCCATCTGCTGAAACAACTCGGGCATTGCCTGGCCGGCCAACACGCGGTTTTCGAGACACATGCCCAGACCCTCTGGCGCTTCTGTCCAGTCTGCCAACACGCGCCACTGACCGTCTGGTGAACGGCCGATGTCAAATGCCAGCAGCTGCAGGTATTCAGCGTTTGCAGCGCGGTAGTTGTACATGGGTAACAGAAAACGTGGATTACCAAACAACAGCGCAGGGGGTAGACCACCCACGTTCAACAGGGTTTTAGGGCCGTATAAGTCGGCTGTAATTCTGTTGAGGAGTCTGGCTCTCTGGGTAAGTCCCAGTTCAAGCTTGCGCCATTCATGTGTTGGCAGAGTAAACGGCAGGGGATCGAGCCTTGTAGGGCGTTTCACATCCAGGTCGCGGACCAGCATCTCGGCGCGCAGATGCTCAGGTTGCGGAGTGCCACCGAGACCATCGGAACTGGTAAAAAAAGACATGACGTCCCGCCAGTGTCCGGGTGTGGCGCCCCGGGCAAGTTCATCAAAAGCATTGGCCGGCACCTGGTAATGGTCCAGCGGCTGAGAAGTATTGGCGGTCATTGGGTGTGACATGGGCTATTGGGTACTGTTGGTTGTTTTCATGCGAGCCCAATAGTTATCTGCCGCGGCAACAACTTTTGGCGCGAGCCATAATGCAGAGACCATCGTCGGGATGGCCATCAACGCAAAGCTCGTGTCTATGATACTCACTGCGGCGTTTATGGAAATAACTGAGGCGACCAAAATAAACCCAACGTATACGTAAAGATAGTAGCGTTTGTTGTGCGCGCCAAACAAAAAACCTGTGCACTGAGCGCCATAGAACGAGTAGGTGAAAATAGTGGTGGTGGCGAAGCAGATGACACAGATAAATACAATCAAGGTGCCCGCCGGGCCAAGTAATTGAGTAAACGCGGCAGCGGTAAGGGTGACACCTTCAGCATCACTGCTGGTCCAAACGCCAGAGATCAGAATCATCATTGCGGTGGCCGTACAGATAATGAGGGTATCCAGGACCGGTCCTAACATAGCCACCAGGCCTTCACGGATAGGCTCCTTTGTCCGCGCGGCTCCATGGGCAAGGGATTCTGTGCCCATACCCGCTTCGTTGCTGTAGGCGCCACGACGAATGCCGTAAAGGATCATCGCCAGGAGCCCGCCGCCGGCCACGGCATCGCCGGTAAATGCATCTGCCATGATCAAGGCTATGGCGCCTGGTACAGCATCTGCGTTCAGAATCAGAGCCAGGGCAGCGCTACCTACGTAGAGCACTGACATTGAAGGCACCATTGCTGCGGCAACGTTTGAGATTCTTTGTATCCCGCCAAATACCACGCTTGCCGTCAGGGCAGCCAGTACCACACCGGCGGCTAAATTGAACATCAGGGGGTCTGTCTCCGGTGACAGCAAGCCGTATTCAATGGCCACCAGATCGCGGAAAATCTGGATCAACTGGTTGCTTTGTAGTGCCGGCAGACAGCCAATCAGGCCCGTGCCTGCAAACAGATAGGCTAGAAAATGCATGCGTTTTGGCAATGCCTCCCGGATCACATACATAGGACCACCCTGCAGATCGCCTGCGGAGTCTTTGCCGCGATACATAACGGCGAGGGAGCAGGTGAAAAACTTAGTCGCCATGCCAACGATGGCGGTCATCCACATCCAGAAAATCGCCCCGGGTCCGCCGATGGCGATGGCCAGAGCGACGCCGGCAATATTACCCATGCCGATGGTACCGGCCATGGCGGCTGACAGCGCTTTGAAGTGACTGATCTGACCAGGATCGTGGGGATCGTTGTACTTACCGCGCAGCAGATCGATGGCATGTGGCAGATAGCGAAACGGGACAAATCGGGACCGGATCAGAAAAACCAGACCGCCACCCAGAAGCAAAACCAGCAGCCAGGGGCCCCACGCCAGATCGGCGATTGAGGTGGTTACCGCTTCAATTTGATCAATCATGTACTGCAGGTGCTTTGTTAAAGGAAGCCAGCGAGGTTAACGGTTTCGAAAGGTAACTTCACTAGCGAAAGAGATTGCAAGCTAGTTTACAAATGCGGGGCGAAGTCTGGCCGGTAGACCCGGTTTCGCTACCGTTTATCGTGCTGATCTGGCGGTGTATCGCGCATCTGCTAGAGTGCAGATTCGTTCCTCTGGCAGCAGCTTATGGCAGACACGACCCCATCGACAGCTGAGCAACAAGCTCACAAATTTGATGAAGGTCCGTTAGGTAAAGTCACTGCGTATCCCGCGACCTACACACCTTCTTTACTACACCCGATAGACCGCAGCGCTGCGCGTGCTCAGGTGGGTGTGGCCCAGGCTTCACAATTACATGGTGAAGACCTGTGGACCGGTTATGAGTTTTCCTGGCTGGACACTCAGGGTAAACCTCTGGTGGCTGGATTGCGTATCCGCATCCCGTGTCAGTCCGCTGCCATGGTAGAAAGTAAATCTCTGAAACTGTATCTGAACAGTTTTTCGCAAACCAAGTTTGAGTCTCAGGCTGCGGTGCTGCACACCCTGGATCAGGATCTGAATCTTGCTTTTCAGGCGCCGGTGATGATTGAGATCATGGAGCTGACGCAGCTTGCAGCACCGGTGCATCAGATGCCGGGTATCTGTCTCGATGATATTGATTTGCGTACAGACACCTACGAGCGTGAGCCTGCGTTTCTGATGCTGGAAGATGTTGATGTCAGTGTGCATGAAACCCTGCACAGCCACATTTTCCGCAGTCTATGTCCGGTCACAGCTCAACCTGACTGGGCGTCGGTAAGCATCGAATACAGTGGTTCGCCTATTAACCGGGTCGGTTTGTTGAAATATCTGATCTCTTACCGGAACCATCAGGCTTTCCACGAAACCACTATTGAGCAGATTTTCTGTGATATTACAGCGGCCTGTGCACCGGCACGTCTGGCTGTTTACGGTCGATTTCTACGCCGCGGTGGATTGGATATCAATCCTTTCCGGGCGTCCTATGAAGCGGAGGCACCTTTGTGTCGGCTACCTCGTCAGTAAAGTGAGCGGAAAGCAGGGGGCAGCTTATGCGTTCAGTCGCGGTGGTCCGGTGCAATTACCGATCGCAGCCAGCCCCACCAGGTATTGTCTTTTCTTAGCGCCTGATCCAGCAGTTTGACATCCTGGCTAAGGCGCGCATGTTCGGTCAGCAAATCAGCTCGGCTGATCATCTCCCGGGTAGGGTCCAGGTTTTTCACCACACTCGCCGGGTTGCCTGCTGCAACAACATTGGCAGGCAGCGATTTGGTCACCACTGCGCCTGCACCCACAATCGTATTGTCTCCAACTGTGACGCCTTTACAGACAATGGCGCCATCACCTATCCAGACATTCCTGCCGAGCACAACTGCGGCACTGGCGCCAATTGGACGTGGTCTATTGTATATGCCATGCCAGTCCGCATCGGTAATGTAGACGCCGGCGGCCAGCATGGTGCTCTGACCAATCACCACTGAGGTTGCGGAGTCGATACGTACACCTGGACATAATAAAGCGTAATCCTGCACGTCTATCGAGCCTTCACCGTCTTCATGTTGCCAGGTGGTCAGGCGCACGGTGCGGTCAGCGGCGGTGACCACGTGCACAGCTTCACCCAGGCGGATGTTGGGACCGTAAATTTTGAAGTGCCAGGGTTTCATGATCATGCAGCCGTCACCCAGCTGATCCAGCTGAGGACGAATAAAATGTCGGGTCCAGTTTTCTTCAAACAGCCCCAGCAGGCGCTTCAATGCAAAAGGTTTCTGGTCGCGTCGCAATCTAGCGCTCGCTTGTCAAAGGTGGGGTTTTGTACCTGCTCTGGCTGAAGCTGACAAGGGGTATGGTTTCAAGCTGCGTCTTCGGCCGCTTCCGCGGGTTTTTCCCCTGCATCAGCAGGTGGGATCGTTTCGCTTTCATCAACCCCCAGGCGCTTACGCAACTCGGTATTTTCTGTTTCCAATGACTGGATGCAGGCCATCATTTCTCGGCTGTCCCTGGTGAACTGTTGCAGCAGCTGTTTGAGCTCTTCGGTGCGATCTTCTTCGCAGTTTCCGTCAGCGATGGCTTCTGCCGCAGCTTTTGCAGCCTCGAGTTCAGCTTCCAGCGCTGCCAGCTGTTCAGTCTGGCCACTGTCGACGGACAAACCGCCGTCTGCAATGGCTGTGCGCAGCAGATTTTCCATATCTCCCTGAGGTTCCAGGGCATGTTGCAGAACCAGGCTGATCACCGGCGTGGTGGTGCCGTCTGCCGGCAGCGCAGCCAGCCGTTCCTGCACCCATGCCGCAGGGCTGGGCGCAGTCGCGTCGTTATGTGCTTCCAGAGCCTCTCGCAGCTGCCCGTTCTGCTTTGAAACACCGCGCAGGCGCAGCCAGAACGCAAGGCATGTGCCTACCGTAATGATGAACATCTGCACCAAAGCAAAAATGGACCATTCCATCTGCAGCAACAATCTCTGGATTAACCTTCTATGAGTATAGATGGTGATTTGTGAACGTGTGGAATGGGCTTAGGGTTGCCCGATAAAGGTCCAGTTCAGAGGCTGATCAGCCTGAAATGGCACTATCGGCGTACCTGCGGCATCAATCAACGAGGCAACTGTCTGTTTGCGGCGTGCCAGAGTAACGGTGCCTTCGTTGAGTGGCAGGCCATAGAAATTAGGGCCGTTCTCAGCGGCAAACGCCTGCAGTTCAGGTAGCGCACCTTCCTCTTCAAAGACGGTGGCGTAACACTCAAGGGCAACCGGCGCGTTGTATATGCCAGCACAGCCACAAGCAGTTTCTTTGTCGCTCTGAGCGTGAGGTGCGGAGTCTGTACCTAGAAAAAAGCGTGGGTTGCCTGACGTAGCAGCGCGTCGCAGTGCGCGCTGGTGTGTTTCTCGTTTCACCACAGGCAGACAGTACAGATGTGGTCTTATCCCGCCGGCAAACATGTCGTTGCGATTGATCATCAGGTGGTGCGGGGTAATGGTTGCGCCAATATTTGTCCCGGCGCTTTCTACAAACTCAACCGCCTGGCTGGTGGTGATGTGTTCAAAAACAACTTTTAATTCTGGCAGATCAGCCAGCAGGGGTTGCATGACCTCTTCTATAAATACCGCTTCTCGATCAAAGATATCGATGTGTGCGCTGGTGACTTCGCCATGTACAAGCAGTGGCATACCCATCTTCTGCATCTGCTCAAGCACTGGATAGATGGCCTTTATATCGGTTACACCATGGGCGGAGTTTGTTGTGGCATTAGCTGGGTAGAGCTTTGCGGCAGTGAACACACCGCCCTCAAAACCGGCTTGCAGTTCGGCTGCGTCAATCGCATCCGTCAGATATGCGGTCATCAGGGGTGTAAATGCGACATCTTCAGGCAGGGCGGCCAGAATGCGCTGTCGATACGCGCTTGCTGCTGTGCAGGTCGTGATCGGCGGATCCAGGTTAGGCATGATGATGGCGCGCGCAAACTGCCGCGCGGTATGTAAGGCAACACCAGCCAGCACCGATCCGTCACGCAGATGCACATGCCAGTCATCCGGCTGCCGTAAACGGATGTTCTCACCATCATCACTCTGCACAATGGTGTCGGAAGACGTGTTATCGGATGACATAGCCGGCTCCACGGTCGGTCTCAAGGTCCTAAAAATGGCGGAGAGAGAGGGATTCGAACCCTCGATAGGGGTTACCTATACACACTTTCCAGGCGTGCGCCTTCGACCACTCGGCCACCTCTCCGGAATTTGGAGGCAACCCACCCAGCCACACCTAAGCGCCCGAAACCGCTGTTACCGTTGCTCCCTTCCGGGCCTGGCGGAGTTCACAGCATATCGCCGCTAGGGGACCAAGATGGGTCACCATAGGGGCGCGTATGCTAGCGGAAAAGGATGCGGATTCATATATGGTTGCTCAATGCGATTACGCCAGATGTCGGTACAATGGCGGCGAAATTGGGGGGGTCTTATTGTGTCACTGAATCGAGGCCGTTTTGTGCTGCTGGCGGTGGGTGCTATTACGCTGCTGGGGATGGTTGGTGCCTATCAACTGGATCCGAAAGGCTTTGTCAGCGCACCCTTGGATTATCTCTATCGGGTTGTGCAGCTGTTCGCAGTTGAGGGTGATTGGACCGCTGGTCACAGTCAGCTGCCACTGGCGCTGGAAATTGCCAGATTTGCCGCGCCGATTGTTACCATTGCATCGCTGATTGTTCTGTTTGCCGAAGGCATCTGGACCGCGCTGATAAATGCCCGCGTGCGCTTCTACAAAAACCACATTGTAGTGGTGGGGTTGTCCGCATCAGCCATGGAACTGGTGCGCAGCGCACATCAGCGCAAACTCGACGTTGTTGTTATTGAAAAAGATCCAGACAATCGCTTGATTCAAAACTGCCGCAGCTTACTGATACCGGTGTTGCTTGGTGATGCAAAACACACAGAGTGGTTGAAAAGGGCACGGGTGGCCCATGCGGGTTCATTGGTGTCGTTTGTGCAACTGGACGACGAGAGCATTGAATTGTCGTTACGCGTTCAGGCTATGGTGGAAGATCGGCGCCCTGACCAGCTTCCGCCACTCAAAGTCATATTGAAGTTGCACGACATGCAACTGGGCAGTCGTCTCGAAAGTTATCCGAAATTCTTTGAAAATCCACGCAGCGTTGAAGTGCGCTTTTTTAATCTGGACGCGTTGGCGGCGCGCTCACTGTTTCGTGAGTTTTATCCTGAAGTCTATGCTGATGCAATGGGCCGGGATCATGTTCACATCGTAGTCCTGGGTTACGGCAGTCTGGGCAAGCAGGTCGTCATCAATGCGTTGAAACAGGCGCACTATGCCAATGACAAACCGTTGCAACTCACCATTGTTGATCGCGATGCGCTGATCAGCGAAGAGACCTTTCGGCGCGAGCACCCGGGTGTCGAAATGGCCGCGCAGGTGCTTTTTGTGCCTATGGAACTTAACGCTGAAGCTTTGCGCGGTGAAGCCGCAACGTTAGGCCTGGATGACGCGACGATGTTTGTCTGCACGTTGGGAGGTGATGCAGCGAATATGAGTATGGCTATTGCGCTTCGCCAGTTGGCGCTGTTGGGTGGGGTGCCCAACTCCCCTATTTTTGTTGCGCTGCGTCACTCCCGTGGGCTTGCTCAACTGGTTGAGTCAGAAATGGATAACCCTGAAATTCCCGATGGATTATATCCGTTCGGGATGGTGGAGCAGCTTATCCGGGTTGATCGGGTTGTAAATGAACGTTTGGATAATCTTGCGATTGCGTTACACGAAAACTATCTTGGCGGGCTCGAGAAACAAACAATCCAACAGGCGTCCCATTACCCCTGGAGTGAACTGTCGGAAACCTTTCGTAACGATGCGCGCGCTCAAGCTGATCATGTGAGAACTAAACTTCGCGCCGCCGGGTATGTGCTGGTGCAGCGAGAGACCAAACAACAGTTCAGTCAAAGCGAGGTGCTACGCCTGGCTGAAATTGAAAAGAAGCGCTGGGTTGCGGAGCGAGCAGCCGTCGGCTGGACGTTTGGCGAGGTTCGAAGTGACCTGGCTAAAATTCACCCCGGGCTTAAATCCTGGCAGTCCAGTTCAACGTCGGAACGTACCCAGGACATGGCTTCCGTGCAGAAATTACCAGGCATTCTGCGCGAACGACTGGGTGCTGGTATCGCGCGACAGGTTGTGATTGGCATAACAGGGCATCGTGCACATCGTTTAAACAAACACCTGGACTATGTTGACGCGCAGGTACGCAAAGAATTCGAGAAAATAGCCGCGCTCTATCCCGGCGCGGAATTTACTATTCTTTCTGCTCTGGCTGACGGCAGCGACAGGCTGGTAGCACAGCTGGCTTTAGAAACACTCGATGCGCAGCTGGTGGTGGCGTTACCGTTGCCATACGAAATCTACAAAAGGTCATTTGGGCATGCGGACCACCTGAGCAACCAGGCCTCTAATGAAGAGTTCCAGCGCTTTGTGGGTCGTTCGAGCCTGTATTTTGAAATGCCTTTGCGTTTCGCCAGCGCTCAGATTCTTGAGCAGGATAACGCTGCAGGTGAACAGGCGCGTGCGCATCAATATGCGCTGGCAGGTGCTTATATTGTCAGCCGTTCGGATGAGTTAATCGCCGTGTGGGACGGGCAGGATGCGCGCGGCATTGGGGGGACCGCAGAGGTGGTGCAATGGCGCGAACAGGGGCACGTGCCAGCAGAATATGCATTTGGAAATTATTTTTTCCCCGCAGTCACAATGAGTGCGCCGAGGGTAATTTCCGTTCCGCCCGAATCTGAGGCGCTAGATGCGCCCATCTAGTGGTCCAATCACAACATAGTCAACCACCGCGGCAATGAGGGCGATAACTACAACTACGATCATAATGAAGCCAAGCAGGCGCCAGCCGCGAAATTTCGTTTCCTCATCGTGGGGTGAATGCTCGGTTTCTTCTGGATGGTTCACTTTACTGCCCTTGTATTACTGACGGTCTGACGCGAACATGGTAACGCACAATCTGACCTGCTCCGCGGATTCTGCACACTTTAATCAGAAAGACTGATCGCTGAAATATGTCGAAGCAACTGTCCTACAGGTCAGATATCGATGGGTTGCGTGCTGTAGCCGTATTGCCTGTGGTTTTTTATCACGCCGGATACACCACTTTCAGCGGCGGGTTTGTTGGTGTCGATATTTTTTTTGTGATTTCCGGCTTCCTGATCACCTCGATTATTTTCAGGGACATCCAGGGGCAGACCTTTTCCTACCGGCAATTTTATGCCCGCCGCGTTCGTCGGCTGTTTCCCGCTTTGTTCAGCGTGGTCCTGGCCAGTTGTTTAGCCGCTTACCTGCTGCTGTTGCCTGAAGAACTGCGCGACTTCGGCCAGAGCGTTTTCAGCATGGTGCTGTTTGCTTCCAATTTTCTGTTCTGGAGTGAGTCGGGGTATTTTGCTGAAGCGGCAGAACTGAAACCGCTCCTGCATACCTGGTCACTGGCCATTGAAGAACAGTACTACCTGTTGTTTCCGATGTTTCTGCTGGCGGTTAAGCGGCTGCGCGCACAACCTTATCTGCAGTGGGTTTGGGGTTTGCTGGTGATCTCTTTTGCAGTCTCTATATGGAGTGTTTATCAGGCACCGGATGCGGCTTTTTATCTGCTACCCAGCCGTATGTGGGAACTTCTGCTTGGTTCTGTTCTCGCGATGAAGATGCCTGTGATTCGTTCCCGCGCGTTAGCTGAGTTGCTTGCTGTCACAGGTCTTGTGTTGATTGGCCTGGCGGTTTTTACCTTCGAGGCGGGCATGCGGTTTCCGGGCGCTGCTGCGCTGGCGCCGTGTCTGGGAACGGCTTTGATCATCTCCACTGGTGCCCAATTTCCCACCGCGATAACAAAATTTCTGAGTCTGCGCGCTTTGGTATTTGTTGGGCTCATTTCATACTCGCTGTACCTGTGGCACTGGCCCGTTATTGCGTTTACCAAACACTACCTCGGCACGCCGTTAACACCTGTGACTATGGCTCTGCTGGTGATGGTTTCGGTGTTGTTAAGTATTTTTTCCTGGCGCTACATCGAACAACCTTTCCGTGGCGCGAGTGCCTGGATGACGACCACAACTCTGTTCCGTGCAGCCGGCGGCGTTGCGTCATTGCTGATTGTCTGTGGCTTGGTGTTTGCCCTGTCGCAAGGGCTGCCAGATCGGCTGCCCGGTGATGTGGCCGCTATCGCTGCTATTGGCGAGCAAAGACCCGTGGCTAACGAGTTCTGTGGCCCAGGTCAGGTGCACAACACCTTCAACGAACCGCGTTGTCGACTCCTTCCTGATTCGCTGGAACCTTCTATTCTCATCTGGGGTGATTCACATGCGAACGTGTTGTTGCCCGCGCTACGGGAGAGCCTGCACCCTCTGCAGCGAAACGCAATTTATAGCGTAGCCAATGGTTGTGCGCCGCTGCTGAGTGCGCAGCGTATCGTGCAGCGGCGCAGCGGATCAGCGGGTAACCTCTCATGTCTTGATCACAATCTGGCATTATTTGAGGCCATCCGGCAGAGCATATCCATCGAAACTGTTGTGCTTGTCGCGCGCTGGGGTTTTCATGCTCAGGGTGTTGAAGTGCCGGGCAAAGAAGGCGCCGCGCGCTTCCTGCAAACAACAACCACTCGGGCTACTTCAGTGGAAGAAAACAGGCAGATTTTTTCTGCGGCGTTGACCGACACCCTTAAGCAGTTGTCCATGGCGGGTAAGTCTGTTGTGGTGGTGGATGGTCTACCTGAGGCAAAAGGGCATGTACCTGATCTGCTGGCCAAGGCACGCTGGCATGGACGTTCTCCAGACCTAACGCAACCCACGGCTGAACTGCTTGAACGCCAGGCGCCACTTTATCAAACCCTGGAGCAAGCGCTTGCAGCAGAGGTGGAAGTTGGTTTTGTGCCTCTACAAGTGACTTTCTGTGACAACCGTACCTGTGCATTTGCAGACCAGGACACGCCGCTGTTTTTTGATGATAATCACCTGTCGGAGGCAGGGGTTAACAAGGTGACGCCCGTGCTGAAAAATTTTTTTCGAGCAAAGAATACTGAATACTGAAAGCGACAATGCAACACCAAGCAGGTCCTCGGTGAGCGACGCGTTAGCCGCGGACGCCATGTCGGTCCTGCGTCTTGGTCCCTTATTTCTAGTCGGCGCGTTGTGTATTGAAGCGTTCTCGCATATTGGTGACGAGCAATCCAGATTCGTCTGGATCCCCGCCGCTGCAGCCGCGTTGTTGATCGTTGAATGGCTGGTGCTGCGTACAAAAGATGTCCCGCTTCGTTACGCTGGCCTGCTGCTCATTTTACCCTGGCTTGCAATTGTGATTGTCATGCTGCAGCACGTCAGTGTGGGTGTCATCCAGCCCACCATTGTATTCATGGCGATATCAATGATTGCCGTGGGGGCGCTGATGATGCCTCTGTGGCCGATGTTAGTCGCCCTCATCAGCAGTTCTGTAATTGTACTCTGGTTGGAGTTTGTGGTTGCGCAGGAAGAGGCTTCCGTTAGTCTCCTGGTGTTAGTCCTGACGCTGAGCGTCGCTACCCTGGTTTATCGCGTACGTCGTCGCGCCATAGTGAATGAAGTAGGACGTCGCGCGGCACAAACCGAATTAGCACTTCAGCGCTTAAAGGTTGCCAGTGCTGAACAGAAACTGGCGCTGTCGACAAATATGGCGGGTGGTATTGCGCACAAACTGAATAATGATCTGCAGACGATTGTCATCGGGTTGGAGAATGCATTGCGTCTTCTGCCAGAGCATCCGGCCGCGAAGCTGTTAAACCATGCGTTAGACAGTACTCAGAATGCTGCGGAACTGGTGAAGAAGTTACATATCCACACCGGCAAAATGAATTCAGAAAGTGAAACTTTCGACATCAAGCGGCTGTTAGATGAACCCATGCTGCGCGCCCAGCTGCCTGAAGACGCTGATTTGTTTCTGTCCTTTACCGGCTTGCCCATACAGTTGAACGGTAACTTTGAAGATTTAAGGACGACTGTTTTAGCGTTGGTACACAATGCAGGCCTGGCGCTGCCAGATGGTAGGGGCGCGGTCCTGGTGCGCGCAAGTGCAACGGGCGATGGCGTACGTATAGAAGTGAGTGATGATGGGGTGGGTATAGCTGAGGAAGACCTGCCGCGAGTGATGGAACCATTCTATACCAGCGAACCCATCGTTAGAGATGGTCTCGGGCTCGCCGTAGTAGATGGGGTCGTCAGACGGCACGGTGGCACTGTCTCGATACAGTCCGACAGAGAACGCGGTACACGTGTGAGTTTATTGTTGCCCAGATTGGCGTTAGAAAAAGACTAAGGAGAAGAATGTGGGGAGAGTAGAAGGCAAAGTAGTTGTCGTCACCGGTGCCGCATCGGGGTTGGGGTTTGCTGATGCACAACAACTGGTGGCAGAAGGTGCACATGTTGTTTTGACAGATATCGATGCCGAGCGTGGACAAGCGTGCGCGGACTCGTTAGGTGCGGCATTTCTGCAGCAGGACGTGGCAGATGAAGCCAGTTGGGATCGATTGATGAGTTTTGTTGAAGATCGATTCGGGCGTCTTGATGGCATGGTCAACAATGCGGGCATTGCACCCATTGCAGACATCGAAACCACCACAACTGATGTCTGGCGCAAAACCCTGGCGATTCACCTGGATGGCACCTTCTGGGGGTGCCAGAGCGCCATCAAACTGATGAAAAAAGGCAGCGGTGGTTCTATTGTGAACATGTCCTCAACCGCCGCGTTAGTGGGCATCCCGGCGTACCTGGCGTATTCGGCTGCTAAGGGTGGTATACGTTCAATGACCAAGGCGGTGGCGATTCACTGCCGGCAACAGAAGTTGGGGATTCGCTGTAATTCGGTACACCCGGGCAGTATCAGTACCCCCATGGTTCATCATGCGCTGAAAGAACTGGTGGGTGTTGATCTGCCGGCCCAGGAAGACCCGGAGGCAACCCGTTTAGCCATGGGTGTTGGCGAAGCCAATGATGTGGCACATATGATTGTCTATCTGATTTCAGATGAAGCCAAACACATTAACGGTGCAGAAATGGTCATCGACAACGGCGACACCGTCGTCTGACAAAAGGAGAGGACGTTCATGCATATTACTGCCATGGTCCATATCAACATCAATTGTCGGAACTTTGAAGCTTCCCGGGCATTTTACGAAATGCTGGGTTTTAAAGTTTTCTGGCCGGTACCACCAACCAATACAGAGGCGGTAAATCGTGCGGTAGGGATGCAGGACTACCGGGTCAATGGGGCCTTAATGTCATTAGAGGGTGCGAACCCGCCGATGGTCATCGATCTTCTTGAGTGGCAATCGCCACGGGATGATTCAGCCCCATACCCGAACCTGCATCGACCAGGGTTGGCGCGATTGGCCATGGCAAGCAGTGACCTTCAGGCCGATTACCAGTTTTTACTCGACAACGGGGTTGAGGTTCTATCCGAGCCAGCAACGGTCATGATCGATGAAGAACATGGCAGCAGCTTCTTCTGTTTTAAAGATCCCGACGGTACGTTTCTGGAGTTGGTGCAGAGCTTCTAGCGAAAATGGCTAACAAAAACAGTAGTGCGCCGGTGGCTGGCAAAACTCAGTCGATCAAAACCGTTGTGTTATTCACTGTAGGGCTGTCACTGCTGATTCCACCTATCGTTTTTTGCCTTGTGGCGCTGTCCAGCGGATTGAATCTCACGGAGACTACGACAGCCCTGATTGGGCAATTCAGTTCAAGAAAACAGAATTTATTGATTGTCGGGTTGTTGAGCCTTTTGCCGGTGGGCCTCATGTTGCTTGTTATCTGGCTGGTCAGCAAAATCAAACGGTTTACGATCGGCAAGCGCAATCTGGCTGTCGGCGGGGCATCTGGCATTCTCACTGTCGATGTCTGGATGAATGTTGAATATTGGCCTACGTTTCTTCCCCAGATGACTTATGCCGGTTTTCCTCATGGGCTCGAATTTGTTCTCGGGCCCATTTTTTATGCACCTGTGATGATGCTGGTGGGCATGGCGGCTGTGGCGCTGGCTAGGAAAAGAAAGCCGCTGCCATGAGAGCGATGCTTTGCGGCATTGCCGCAAAACTCGACAGAGCTCGCGCGGCGAGATCATGGTGCACCCGACAGGATTCGAACCTGTAATCCCCGGTTTCGTAGACCGGTGCCTTATCCAGTTTGGCCACGGGTGCAAGAGGGCGCGTATTATCTGGAAGAACGCGCCAGACCTCAACCTTTTATCGCATACGGTTTTCCGTTTCATTCCACATCTACTCGATCTCAGCCTGTTTTAGTGACAATCATTTTATCGATCTGCATGTCATCAATGGTGTAGGGAATGCCGCCTACACCCAGCCCGGAGTGTCGCAAGCCGGCAAAAGGCATGATGTCATCTCGAAATGCAGTGTGGTTGTTGATCATGATCGCTGATCCGTCCAACGCAGCAGCTATTGCAGTGGCACGGTCAATATCCTGGCTGAACACTGCGGCCTGGAAAGCAACCGGTAAGGCGTTGGCTTGATGGACAGCCTCTTCTACGCGGTTGTAGCCGTACACACACACAACCGGACCAAATATCTCTTCGCGGCTTACTTTGCTCTTAAAATCAGGGTTCACCAGCACTGTCGGCGCATACACACGATTGTTGACGCGGCTGCCACCGCAGGCGAGCGTTGCACCTTCATGCACGGCCTCCTGCACCCAACTTTCAACCCGGTCAACTTCGCCAGGTCTGATCAGGGGGCCGACGTCGGTGTTGGCGTCCATTGGATCGCCCACATTCAGTTGTTTGACCCCGGTAATCAGTTCGGTGACAAAATTGTCCAGCAAAGTGTTGGGCACATAAACCCGCTGAACCGACACACAAACCTGTCCGGCATGGTAGAAGCCACCTTTCAGAACCGCTGGCACAAGTTTCTGCAGAACAGCATCTTCGCAGGCAATCAGAGGTGCTGCGCCGCCATGTTCCAGCGCACAGCGTACCCCTGGCGCAAGTTGAGCGCGCAGTTGCCAACCTACGCGTGCGCTACCGATAAAGGAGAAAAAGCCCAGCCTGGGGTCGGTCACCAGGGATTGCGCCACACCGTTATCGGCGATCAAAGCCTGGCACCATCCTGCTGGAAGTCCTGCTTCGATAAGCACGTCCACCAGAGCCAGAGCACTCAATGGCGTATCCAGAGCGGGTTTGATAATCACCGGACAGCCAGCAGCAACAGCAGGTCCAACCTGGTGAACGATGAGGTTTAAAGGGTGATTAAATGCGCTGATTGCCGCTACGACACCAACTGGCTCTTTAAAAGTGCGTGCATGGTGGCCCTGGGTGAGGGGGGATATGCCCAGGGCAATGGTGCGGCCAACCTGCGCGCGAATGTGATCTGCACACATCTGCAGGCCTTCAGCTGCGCGCTTGGCCTCCACTTCCGCATCCTGCCGGGGCTTGGCGCCCTCCCGGGCAATCAATTCAGCAAATTCCGCAAAGCGTTCCTGCAGCAAATCTGATGCTCTGGACAATATATCGATGCGGGTTTGTACACTCATCCACTGCGAACGGTCTCGATAGAGGGCTTGTGCTTGAGCCAGCATATCCTGCAGATCTGCCTGACTTTGAGTTTGAATTTCGCTGATAACTTCTCCGCTGAAGGGGGAGACAACTTCAAGCATGGGTATTCCTTTGACTGTCAGAGATTTGAAATGTTTGGGTCGCTTTACCCGGCGACTCAATATAGCGTGTTGCCCTGTGAGTGTGCTAGAAACGCGCTTTGATAGAATATGTAAGTTCCCATTTGTCAGGTGAGTAGATGGACCCAATTTTTATAGCCGGGCTGGAACTGATGCTGATCGGTATGGGCACGGTGTTTGTGTTTCTGACGGTGCTCGTGGTCGCGACAAAATTCATGTCAGTACTTGTGCAACGATTCGGCCCGGTGCCGCAGGTCCTGGTGCCATCGTCGATAGCAGATGGAGCGGACCCTTCTGCTGAAGAAGTGGCCGCCATCACTGCAGCCCTCCACCAGCATCGTTTAAACAGAAACAGATAAACCAAGGAAGCTCATGAACAAAGCGCCCCTCGGCATCACCGATGTAATTTTACGTGATGCGCACCAGAGTCTGCTGGCTACGCGGATGCGTATCGACGACATGTTACCTATCGCCGCGAAACTCGACGCGGTGGGATTCTGGTCGCTGGAGTCATGGGGCGGCGCCACTTTTGATGCATGTATCCGCTATCTTGGCGAAGATCCTTGGGAGCGGATCCGGTTATTGAAACAAGCCATGCCCAACACACCCCAACAGATGTTATTGCGTGGGCAGAATATTCTCGGCTACCGTCATTACGCAGACGATGTTGTGACAAAGTTTGTTGAGCGGGCGGCGAAAAACGGCGTTGACGTATTCCGCATATTTGATGCGATGAACGATCCGCGCAATCTCCGCAAAGCCATCGAGGCTACTCTGGCAGTTAACAAGCACGCGCAAGGTACAATTTCTTATACAGTCAGTCCCGTCCATACCGTGGATTTGTGGGTAGACCTGGCGAAACAGATCGAGGATCTGGGTGCACACAGTCTGTGTATAAAAGACATGGCCGGTTTGTTAAGACCGATGGTTGCATACGATCTGGTATCAAGACTCAAAGCTGAGTTGGATATACCTGTACATATGCAGTGCCATGCCACTACAGGAATGTCGACAGCCACGTATCTGAAAGCAGTTGAAGCCGGCATCGATAACGTCGATACGGCAATTTCATCCATGAGTATGACCTATGGCCATACGGCAACGGAATCGATGGTGGCTATTCTTCAGGACACCGAACGCGATAGCGGTCTGGACATTACTTTGCTGGAAGAAATTTCGGCCTACTTCCGCAATGTGCGGAAAAAATATGCGAAGTTTGAAGGCAGTCTGCGCGGTGTCGATTCCCGCATTCTGGTCGCCCAGGTGCCTGGCGGGATGCTGACTAACCTGGAAAATCAGCTGCGCGAACAACAGGCTACCGATCGCCTTGATGAGGTTCTTACAGAAATTCCCAAAGTGCGCAAAGAGCTGGGTTACATCGCTCTGGTGACGCCTACCTCGCAAATAGTTGGCTCCCAGTCTGTCATCAATGTATTGATGGGGGAGCGCTACAAAAACATTACCGCAGAAACTGCCGGTGTTCTGAAAGGCGAATATGGCGCAACACCGGCGCCCCTGGATGCAGACCTGCAGAACAGAGTTCTGGATGGGGCTGCGCCTATTACCTGCCGTCCCGCAGATTTACTGTCTCCGGAACTCGAAACTCTTACGCTGGAACTGCAGAAGCATGCGGCCAACGAGGGTTTTGTCATGGCTCAGGACAGTATCGACGACGTGCTGACCTATGCACTGTTTCCACAGGTAGGCCTGAAATTCCTCAAAAACAGAGGCAATGCGGATGCGTTTGAGCCTGCTCCGGGCACTGAGAAAACTGTGGTCACATCTGCGCCTGCCCAGGCTCAGATCGCACAGGCAGGCCCAGCGGTTTACAACGTTCGGGTGAACAACAAAGCGTTTACCGTGGAAGTGTCAGCGTCTGGAGATGTCGCTACGGTCGCTGCCAGCGGACCGGTAGCGCCGCAAGCAGATGCTTCGGCCGCGGCTCAAGCCGTGCCGGCTGCACTGGCGGGCACAGTCGTCAAGGTTCTGGTCCAGGCAGGACAAACAGTCAGCCGGGGACAGCCCTTAGTGGTGTTGGAAGCCATGAAAATGGAGACGGACATCAGTGCGCCTGCTGATGGCGTTATCGGCGAGGTGCTGGTTGCAGCAGGTGACGCCGTGCTTGTGGGCACCCCATTGGTGACGTTGGCTTAGCCCAGGTGGAATTACTCACACAGCTCTGGCACGCCTCGGGTATCTATCAGATCAGCCCTGGCCAGCTGGTGATGATCGGCATCTGTCTGTTACTGCTCTATCTGGCCATCGCCAAGAAATTTGAGCCGCTGCTGCTGGTCACCATCGGATTTGGTGGTTTGCTGAGCAATATTCCCGGAGTCGACATCGCAACGGGTGATGGTTTGTTACATCTGGTGTACCTGGTGGGTATTGAAACCGGTGTATTTCCCCTGATCATCTTTATGGGTGTAGGCGCAATGACAGACTTTGGTCCATTGCTCGCTAACCCCAAGACACTTTTCCTCGGCGCCGCGGCACAGTTTGGTATTTTTGCAACGCTGCTGGGTGCTCTAGGTCTGACGTCTCTGGGTATTATGGATTTCAGTCTTCGGGAAGCGGCTGCGATTGGCATCATTGGTGGTGCAGATGGCCCGACAGCGATTTATGTTGCCGGTGCTCTGGCGCCTCATCTGTTAGGGGCGATAGCAGTAGCCGCATACTCCTACATGGCATTGGTACCCATTATCCAGCCACCGATCATGCGCGCGCTGACAACACAGGCAGAGCGTGAAATTGAAATGACCCAATTGAGGGAAGTATCGCAACTGGAAAAAATAGTTTTTCCTCTGTTGCTTCTGCTGCTGGTTGCTTTGCTGCTGCCGTCAGCAGCACCGTTACTGGGTATGTTTGCGTTTGGTAATCTCATGAAAGAATGTGGGGTGGTTGATCGTCTATCTGAAACCACGCAGAACGCGCTGATCAATGTGGTCACCATTTTTCTGGGACTGGCGGTGGGTTCCAAGCTGCAGGCGGACGTATTTCTGACCGCCAGTACGCTGGGTATTCTGCTACTGGGTATGGTCGCGTTTGGTGTGGGTACTGCCAGTGGTGTTCTTATGGCGAAGCTCATGAATCGCCTGAGCAGCACCCCGATAAACCCGCTCATCGGCGCCGCGGGTGTTTCTGCGGTGCCCATGGCCTCCCGGGTGGTGAACAAAGTGGGCCTGGAGGCGAACCCGCAGAATTTCTTATTGATGCATGCTATGGGTCCTAATGTGGCGGGTGTTATTGGTTCAGCCGTGGCTGCAGGCATCATGATTCTGTTTGCTTCAGCTCCTTAAAGTTCAAAAATTCATTGAGTTCAAAGGCTTAGCGTTCGCTCTTCGTAGTTTTTGCAGCTGGACGCTGCTAACATAGGTTTTCAGCTAGCCTGCCGGATCTTTTCACTTTGAACTTGCGACCGCATCTTTGTGCGTTTTTGTTCAGCTGCTTTTTTGCGGCATCTGCGTACGCAGAGACCCACTATTGGGTTTCTGTAGCCAGCTATAAAACGCAAAGCGAAGCGATGGCCAAACGCGAGACTGCAGAAAAAGTCGTTGGCCAACCTTTTGAAGTTTTAGGCTTTGTAACAGACAAAGGCTACTTCTATCGCCTGGTGAGTGGTCCTTATCTAACTCGTGAACTTGCTCAAGACCTCGCTGCTGTGGCATCCAGGAATGGGTTTACCGGTGCCTGGCACTGGTCAGAGAAGGATGCATCAACATCCGATGGGTTTGCTGCAGAATATTCTTCTGATATTTATGAAGTCGACAGCCAACCGGCTAATGATTCCCGTGCTGCGCCTCAAGAGCCGGCAACCGAGGGTGCAAAGCGCGGTGTTGTTGAAGAAGCACCCCAGGACTATCAGCTGCACAAGTTGCAGCGTGACGCGAGCCATCATGCTCCGGCCGTGCCAGCCATACCCGAGGGGCTGATGGGGTTTGTACCGGATGTTTTGCGACATAACCGGTTCGGGTCACCGGCTTTGCTATACGGTGCTGCCGGAGCTGCTTCACCCAGCGAGTCTCCACTTTCTGACTTAACCACCGAGCCGCCAAATCAGCTGTTACTGGCCAACCCAACTGGTGCGCCGATTACCCTGCCAAGTTATCGGGAAGCCGATATCGATATGCAGATTGATGGGGATCTGAACGAACCCGTCTGGCAGGCCTTTCCGGGTGTCGATTCGTTCCGTGTTGTGGATCCAGATACCGGAGAGCTACCACGACATGCCACGGTGGTGAAAATGTTCTACACCGAACGTGGTCTTTATGCCTCGTTCAAAATGGAACAGCCTCCTGAAACCCTGGTCAGAGTGTTTTCCAGCCGCGATGAAGGGCGTTTGAACAGGGATAACGTCGGTGTGACCCTCGATACTTCTGGAGAGGGCCGGTATGGCTATTGGGTGAATCTTGCCCTGGGTGGCAATCAGGTAGATGGTACCGTATTGCCTGAGCGTCAGTTCAGCCGCGATTGGGATGGTGCGTGGTATGGCGGTACCAAAGTCACAGCCAAGGGTTGGGATGCAGAGATATTCCTGCCCTGGTCTCAAGTTGCCATGCCCAAAGAAGCCGGACAACGCACGGTAAACGCCTATGCTTCACGTAAGGTGGCTTACATGGATGAGCGTTATGCCGTACCTGCTCTGCCTTTCACACAACCCTTATTTATGTCAGCACTCCAGCCTCTGCTTCTGGATCAGGTCGACCCCCAGCAGCAGTTCAGTTTTTTCCCTTATGTTTCTGTAACTCAGGATGAAGTTGAAGACTTCACGCAAACCAAGGCTGGCGCTGATATTTTCTGGCGGCCATCAACTAATCTGCAGCTGACAACGACATTGAATCCTGATTTTGGCAATGTCGAAAGTGATGATGTCGTTGTCAACCTGTCCGCATTTGAAGTTTTTTTTCCGGAGCGCCGACTGTTTTTTCAGGAAGGCACAGAAATATTTGATACCACCCCGCGGGCAAATGGCGATGAACCCACCACGGTGGTGAATACACGCCGTATCGGTGGCCAGGCGCGCGCACCTGATGTGCCTGATGATGTTGATGTGCCGTCTCAAGAGCTGGGTCAGCCGGTGGAGCTGATTGGTGCGCTTAAAGCGGTGGGTCAATTTGGTCAGGTCCGTTACGGGCTGCTGGCAGCTTCAGAAAATGAAGTGAAGTTTGACGTCGAAGAGATCAATTACTATCAGGATGGTAGCGACTACGGGATTGCACGTTTTCTTTATGAAGACAAAGCGCCTTCAGGTGCTTACCGAGCCGTTGGCGCGATTACAACTCTCGTGACACATCCTGAAGAAGATGCGTTGGTAAACGGCATTGACTACCACTACCTCACTGCGGGTGGAAAGTGGAAAGTGGATGGTCAATTTTTACACTCTGATACTGACGAAGAAGGTTCCGGCAACGGTGCTTTTGTCGATGTGGGTTATACGATTCGTCGGGGCCTTAATTTGAGATGGGGGCTGTCTCATTTTGACGACAAGTTTGAGCTCAATGATCTAGGGTTCACACGGCGTAACGATGCCACCAGCACAAACCTCCAGTTAGATTATGAAACTACGGATCTTCCCTGGTTCCGGAAGGCCCGAGCTGACAGTTTTATGCAGTACGAGGTTAACGGCGATGGGGAACGCACCCGTATCGGTATGGGTACCAACCTAGGTCTGGATCTGCGTAGTCAGGATCAGATTCGTGGCGGCATTGCTTACTTTCCAGCTCGAGCAGAAGATCGTAACAGTCGTGATAACGGCACTTTCGAGGTGGAAGGTCGGCACAACTTTTATGCTGATTATTTTACTGACACGGCTCAGCGCATCAGTTACCGGTTCGGTATGGAGCATGGTGGGGAAGAACTTGGTGGTAATCGCGTGGTAGGGCGGCTGGGTTTCACCTGGCGTCCTATCGATCAGATTAATGTAGGTGCCCTGGCGCAGTATCAACGTCGCCGCGGCTGGCTGCTTTGGCAGGAAGATCGGAATTTCACGACGTTCAACAGCACGGAATGGCGCCCACGGGTTAATCTGGATTATTTTTTAACCGCTAAACAGCAACTTCGGTTCTCTGCTCAATGGGTTGGTATTCGAGCCAAAGAGCAGGGGTTCTACCTGGTACCCGAGGAGGTAGGTGATCTGATTGAGGTTGAAAAACCTGATGAGGAAACGGATGATTTTGCGATCTCCCGGGTTAACGTGCAGCTGCGTTACCGTTGGGAAATAGCGCCGTTATCAGAATTGTCGGTGGTGTATACCTTGAGCGGTTCCCAGTCTGAAGAAACCGGAAGTTTTCAGGATCTTCTGAGAGATGCCTATGATGACCCTGTCGGTGAGCAGCTCATCATCAAGCTGCGTTATAGATTAGGCTCTTAAAACACAAGTAACTTACGTTTATCGCACAAACTCGCTACCCGACACCGGCATACTGAATGCTGAGAATCACGTAATACGGGAGATCAGCAGTGCATAAATGCCCTTTTCATGAACAGAGTAGCGGTGCCGTCGAAGGCGGAGAAATTAATTCCATACACTGTCCGGACTGCGGTGATTACCGCATCTCCGAGGTTGCTCTGCAGCAGATAGCCAATCTATCCAAGCCACCTCAAGGATGGCCGGAAGTGGTCGCTCGGGGTCAGCTGATCTCGACGCGCATAACGCGAGAGTTATTCGCGTGACCTAGAGGGCCGGTCGCCTGACGACTGGCATGGAAAATTCCGCTTCGATTGAATACTCTGCCTGGCCAGTCAGCCAGTAGTTTGTGTTCCATGCAATATAGAACCGCCACCCAATGGGGTGTCTTTGATGTCACCGTCTCTGATGGTGTCATTCAACGTGTAGACGGTATTCAACAAGACCCTGATCCCGCCGCCATCGGGCAGACCCTGCTTGATGGCGTCCAACACGCTTCCCGGATTCAACGACCTGCTATTCGTAAAGGCTGGCTCGCAGCTGCCCATCGAAACCGCAAACTGCGCGGCAACGACAGCTTTGTTGATGTCCCCTGGGACGAAGCGCTGGATATGGCTGCGCAGGAAATCGCGCGGGTGATTGCGGAAAAAGGCAACAAGTCGATATACGCTGGATCTTATGGTTGGGCAAGCGCAGGGCGCTTTCACCATGCGCAATCTCAATTGCACAAGTTCATTAATCTGCTGGGTGGTTCAACCCGGGCGATGAATTCCTACAGCACCGCAGCGGCCCAGGTCATTCTGCCTCACGTGGTTGCGCCCTGGTCTGAAATTGAACTGCAGCAAACCAGTTGGGACGAGATAGCTCAGGGCGCCGAACTGATGGTCGCCTTTGGCGGCATACCGTTGCGTAACACACAGGTGGCTTACGGTGGGATCACAGAACATCAGAGTCAGGGCGGCCTGCGCGGTGCGTTGGCGGCAGGCACCAAACTGGTGAACGTCTCTCCGGTATCTCATGACATGCCCGCGTGGTCGCAAGCGCAGTGGGTGGCAGCCCGTCCAGGTACTGATGTTGCGCTGATGTTAGGTCTGGCTTACGTGCTGGAAGCGGAAAACCTGCTTGATCGAACATTTCTTGAGAGCCATTGCCACGGCTATGCAACATTCTGTCGATACCTTCTGGGCGAAGCAGATGGCATCGCAAAATCCCCAGCATGGGCGGCGCAGATTTGTGGTGTGGACGCAGGGGTTATTGAGCAGCTTGCGCGGGAAATGGCGCATAAAAAAACGTTTATTACCGCGGCCTGGTCTCTGCAGCGGGCCCATCATGGCGAACAACCTTACTGGATGCTGGTGGTGTTGGCTGCCATGTTAGGTCAGATTGGCCTGCCAGGCTGTGGGTTCGGATTTGGTTATGGCGCTGAAGGGTTTATCGGATCCAGCTGGCGACGATTCAATTGGGCAACGTTCAGTAAAGGCATGAATCCCACGCGTTTTGCGATACCTGTTGCGCGCATTACGGACATGTTGCTGAATCCGGGTGCTGATGTGGATTACGATGGGCGCAAGATCACCTACCCGGAGATTGATCTGATCTACTGGGCAGGTGGTAATCCATTCCATCATCATCAGGATCTTAACCGTCTTGTTGAGGGCTGGCGCAAACCCAGTACGGTGATTGTGAACGAGCCTTGGTGGACACCAACGGCGCAGTGGGCGGATATCGTATTCCCGGCGACCACCGCACTTGAACGCGAGGACATCTGTGCTTCAAGTCATGACCCCTACGCGCATGCCATGCAGCAGGCATTGCCTGTGCAGCATGACGCCTGTTCGGACCACGAAATATTTGCAGGGCTTGCGGCTCGGCTCGACGTTGGGGAGGCGTTCGTGGAAGGGCGGAACGAGCAGGACTGGTTGCGCCATATGTGGGAAAAGTCTGCCGACAAGGCGCGCACGGAAGGGTTTGAACTACCTGAGTTCGATGCGTTCTGGCGCAACAGGATCTATAAGATTCCTGAGCAGTCCGCACGCAAAACCTGGCTCGCAGATTTTCGAGCTGATCCGCTTAACAATCCGCTGAACACGCCCAGTGGCAAACTCGAAATCTTTTCAGATGCCATTGCTGGGTTTGATTATGACGACTGTCCCGGCCACCCAACCTGGCTGGAACCCTTTGAGCGACTAGGTGGGCATAACTCGGAAAAATATAAATTGCACCTGCTGACGCCGCAGCCGGAAAAGAGATTGCACAGTCAGATGGATCCCAGTGCACATAGTCACAGCGGCAAGGTTGCTGGTAAAGAAGTGCTGCTCATGCATTCCACTACCGCTGCGGCTCGAAACATTCGGCAAGGCGATATCGTGCGCATTTATAATGACCGGGGTGCCTGTCTGGCGGCGGTTGGTTTCGATGACAACCGACTGGCTGATGTTGTTTCCCTGCCGACAGGTAGCTGGTTTAAACGTCTGGATGACTTTACGGATGCAAATGGTAATCCTAACGTGTTGACCGCCGATGTAGGCACTTCAAAACTTGCTCAAGGGCCCAGTGCCAACACGTGTTTGGTTGAAGTTGAAGCCTACACACCCTAAGGTTCGCGCTGCTGGCCTCGTAGTTCAATGGATAGAACGACCGCCTCCTAAGCGGTAGATGCAGGTTCGATTCCTGCCGGGGCTACCAAACGCACAATCGCTCAGGGCTAGTCAATACTCTGATTAGACCGATGGTAGCGCACCACAATATCTGGATCTGGTGCCAGGGTGGTACCGGCATTGTCTTTGCCTTCGTAATTCAGTACGGACAGTGCGTAACGCATACTTTCCAGCCGAGCTTCTTTCTTGATGTTGGCTTTGACGATGATCCAGGGGCTGTAGGACGTGTGGGTTCTGCTGAACATCTCTTCTTTATACTTCGTGTAAAGATCCCAGTGAGCCTGAGCCTGTTCGTCCACAGGGCTGATTTTCCATTGTTTCAGAGGGTTCACACGACGGGACTGGAAGCGCTCTTCCTGTACGTCTTTTGAGATTGAGAACCAGAATTTGATCAATTCCACGCCATCTTCATAGAGCATATGCTCATATTCAGGGACCTGTTGCATGAAGCCGCGGTGCTGCTGCTCCGTGCAGAAATTCATGACGGGTTCGACAACCGCGCGGTTGTACCAGCTGCGGTCAAAGAATGCGATTTCACCCGGGTTAGGCAGCTGTTCGGTATAACGCTGAAAATACCATTGCCCCTTTTCCACTTCGGTAGGTTTCGGCAACGCGACCACACGGGCGCTACGCGGATTCATGTGTTCAATGAAGCGACGAATCGTGCCACCTTTTCCAGCTGCGTCTCGACCTTCTACAATGATCGCAACCCGACGCCCCTCCAACTGCACCGAGCGTTGCAGTTTGACAAGTTCGATCTGAAGCTTTTCCAGTTCGCGCTCATATTGAAGCGTTGCCAGGGCTTTGGAGACATCGATATTTTTAGTCGATAAAAGCTGCAGGAGGCCCTTCTTGGTATTGACTGCTGCCAGCTCTTCTTCTGTAAGGCTAACATTTTCTTTAAGCGTTTTTCCGAGAAGGTTTTCTTCCCTCTCGATCTTGTCCTTTTCTTCCGCAGTTCGGATGACTGGCTTCCGTTTTGTTTGTGTGCGAGAGGGGGCGGGGGCTGGAGAGGGTGTGGGTTCGACTACAGATGATTCACGACTACTCACGAGCGGCGTTCCTAGGTTATAAACTTTGGGCCGCAGCACTGCGACAATGATTTTGAGATGCCAACTCGTTGGAAATGCACATGAATATCCGTGAAATCCCTTAGTCAGGTGTTTTTTGTGGTGATGAGCTTCGACGTGCGTTGAAAGAGGTTGTCCCCCTGCTTCTGCATGGCGCAACCTGGAATTTTGCTAATATGTAACCCTGCTATTCAATCAAAGGGTGACAATGAATAATCTGATGACGCGCTATTGCCTCGTATTCAGTATGGCTGTTGTAAGTCTGTCAGGGTCAAGTTTCGCCACGGCAGAACCCTCACTGTCACCGCCGGATGAGCCGCTCATCGACCTATCCACGGTTCAGTGGATGCACGGGCATCAGGACTGCGATTCAACTCGATTGGCGACAAACTATGTGGAATGGCAAGTCATTCGGTATCGAAATGACACATACATATTTCGACAGAATAAATGCTCAAATTACGAGGCGCCGTTTGTATATTTGTTTGTGGGTGCACAACGGGCGCTTTTAATCGATAGCGGTGCAACGGCTGCTGGCGGATCAAGTTTGGTTGATGCAATCCGCGCAATTACAACTCTTCCTGTCGTTGTGGCTCATTCCCACGGGCACGGAGATCATCATGCCGGCGACGCTGCTATGCAGGCTGCGGAAGGCTTTACTGTGGTCGGCACGGGGCCCACGGCAGTGCAGAGTTTTTTCAAATTTGAGGGTTGGCCTCGAAACGCGGTCAAGCTGGAGCTGGGTGGTAGAAACATCGAACTGCTGCCAATTCCTGGCCATCATGATGATGACATAGCCTTCTATGACCCACGCTCCAGGTTTGTAGTGACAGGCGACACCCTATATCCAGGGCGTCTGTATATCGGCGACTGGGCAGCGTATCGGGCGAGCATCACGCGGTTGATGCAATGGGTTGCAAGCCACGAGGTCACGTATGTGATGGGCACCCATATTGAGATGAGTAATACACCCAATGTTGACTATCCAATTGGTACAACGTTTCAGCCTGATGAAATCTCTCTGCCTCTGGGTGTATCGGATATCGAGAAGCTCGAAGCAACGATCGCTGACATGGACAAACCCCGACGTACCTACTTGGAGCGCTTCATTCTGTGGCCAAAGGACTGAGATGTTTAGCGCAGCCGGGTTACCAATTCCGTGACTGCATCGATCACGATCTGTGGCTGCTCCAACTGAATGACGTGGCCACTTTCCCTGGCGATATGCCGCTGCCCGGCAGTTGAGAGCCTGGTCAGTTCCGTTTGTAGTTCATCCCAGATTGTCGCCATTTCGCGCGCTTGTTTGATCGGTAAGCCAAATTCGTTGTCAGCGGCTGGCGTTTTACCCTGAGACAGTACTACCAGAGGTAGAGTGCCGAGTGACCTTGGAGGGTCGGTATCAAAAATTTCGCGGTTGAACCCCTCGGACTCTCTTAACATGGCTGCGCACGTGTGGTTCTGATTGACGGTTGCCGTCAACAGTTGCCGTTGTGGTTCAGGCAACTCGTAGCGCTCAAGCAGGCCGTCCATCACGCCGAGTGCGCGCACGATCCCCAGAGGTTGCACCCAGCTGCACAACGTCAGCATTGTGCTTAACTGTGAAGTGCCGCCGATACTGGGCAGCCGATTACCCTGTTGTTCATGAGAGGAGTCCACCAGCACCATGCCAACAACCTGCTCCGGGTAGCGCGTGTAGTATTCACGGACAAAAACACCGCCTGCAGACATGCCCAGTAAAATTATTGGGCCATCCAGTTTGGCCACGTTAAGCAAGGTATGGAGGCGCTCAGCAACACGTTCGGCACTCAGTGGTACACGGGTTTGTTCACTCCAGTCTATGCCGGGTCTGTCGTAGGCACACACGCGGGTCTGTTGTGCGAGGGCATCGTGCACCAGGCCCCATGAGGTGGAGCCAAATGTAAGACCGGCTTCGAGAATAACCGCGGGCGTACCCTGGCCTCGACAGTCCATGTGAATATTTAGACCATCAACTGAATGCATTACTCCCGGTGGTGGGAAGTTTTTGCTATCTGCTCCAGCAGAAAACCATTGATACACAACGCCTGCGATGATCATAACCACCAGCAGTACAAGTGCGTACTTTAATGCCTGGACAATTGTGTTCATGATCTTAGACTCTAGGCTTTTATTTGTTGAGCATAACGGGTTTGTCAGGGTTGCGTCATGGTCCTTCTTAAAGATGTTCTAGTTGGCATACCTGCTGTAAATGCACAACAGTGGGAGCCACTGGGAGGGTTCACAAAGTGGCTGATAGCTTGTCGTGCATCGGTGTTGCCGCTGACAATCTTTGCCGTCACTTTTGCCCTGTGTCTAGCGCCGCCAAACTCTATACAACAATGGATTCTCGCTGGTGCAAGCGGGCTGGCTCTAACCCTCGCTCATGCCACCAATAATCTGATCAATGATTATGTCGACCATAAAACCGGGGTCGATAGTGATAACTATTTTCGTGTGCAATACGGCGTGCATATTCTCGAAAGCGGCCTGGTTACAAGCGGGCACTACCTTCGCTACATTGTTTTTACCGGCGCCTTTGCATTGGTGCTTGCCGTTGTTATCTGCTGGTATGCGGGTGGCCTGACCCCCTGGTTTGCATTGAGTGGAGCGTTCTTCGTTCTGTTTTACACCTATCCCTTGAAACGTATTGCTCTGGGTGAACTCGCGGTTTTTCTGGTCTGGGGTCCGTTGATGGTTATTGGCACCTATCTTGTTGTGCATGGCCATTTTGGACTCGACGTTGTTTTCGCCAGCATCGTCTATGGCCTGGGTCCAACAGTGGTGATCCTGGCGAAACATACGGACAAAGCACGTCATGACCGGGAAAAGAAGATATGGACATTTCCGGTGGTCCTTGGATCCTGGGCCAGGCAAATTGTGGCGATAGCCGTTGTGGCTCAATTAGTCCTGGCGATTGTGGTGGGCATAGAGTTTGCCCTTTATGGTCTGGCTGGCATTGTGCTGGCTGTTCCTGCCGGGTTTCGTTGTCTGAAAGTATTGCAGGAAACAACGCCAGCTGAGCGCCCAGCCGATTATCCTGCGCAGGCCTGGCCGCTGTGGTACACCACGTTTGCTTTCCGCTATGCGCGCGATGCCGGACTGGGATTAACCCTGGGCGTTGTCCTGCAGAATGTGCTCATGTGAAGTCACATCGCACCTGAATCAACTCAACCAATGCGATAGCGTCGTGCCCTTGATTAGTCAGGCTGACGTACTTACCCAGAAACTGCTCATGCCGCGAAAGCTTGGAATGCTGTGATACACAAAACCTCTGGGGCTGTGGTGTAAGTCAGGGAAGCGTCTGATCAATGCTGAAATGGCTTCTTGAGCTTCGAGTCGAGCCAGATGTGCACCCAGGCAGAGGTGTCTTCCACCGCCGAAAGACTGGTGATGGGTATCTTCACGACTGACATTGAAGATTGCGGGTTCCGGGTAAATTTCAGGGTCATGGTTTGCACCCGCCAGTACCGTGCTGAGAGACTCACCTTTTTTGACGGGACAGCCGCCGATCTCTATGTCCCGGTTTGCGATACGGCCTGAATTGACCACCGGCGAGTCGTAGCGCAGCATTTCCTCTACCGCATTGGCAATCAAACCTGGGTCCTCTTTCAGCTTCTGCCATTCATCAGGGTTGTCCAGTAACGCCTTTACACCATTACCAATCAGGTCGGTGGTTGTGACGTTGCCGGCAATCAGCAGCAGGTTAGCCTGGGTAATCATTTCTTTAACGGTAAGTGTGTCTCCGTCGAGCTCTGCGCGAATCATGTCTGAGATCAGGTCGTTGCCAGGCTCTTGTCTGCGTGCTGCAATTTCAGCTTCGAAAAACGTGAACAGATTGTGATTGGCCTCGTCACGGAGTTTGATTTGTTCCTCGGTTGGAAAAGGGTTGAAGCTGGCTGCGACAGCCTGATCTGACCATGTTTTGAAGGCGGTGTGTTTACTGGCTTCAATGCCTAACATTTCCGCAATCACCACGGTAGGGACGGGCCCCGCAAAATCTGCAATCAGATCAAACTCATCGCCTTGGATCCTGTCGAGAATGTGTTCGACGATGGTTCGCGTTCGCTCACGCCACTTTTCAACAGCGCCCGGGGTAAACGAGCTGCTGACCAGTGAACGCAAACGCCGGTGATCAGGTTCGTCCATGAGTAACATGGAAGGTTCTTCGTCTTCAGCGATGCCGTTGCCGAGGAATTCTCGGGTAAATGTGCCGGGGTTTGCTTTGCGTGGATCGCTCCACATATCCGCATCGCGCAGAATCTGTTTCACATCATCGTGGCGGGTGTAGATAAAACGACCCAGTTGACTGTCTTCGTGGACCGGCGCTTCGCTGCGCAGTCGTGCAAATATGCGATAAGGATCTGCGCGAAATTTTTCGTCTAAAGGCGTGAGTTCGATGCCCTGGGGGAGTGGACTGTCAGTCATAGTGTGATGCCTGTTATCGGTTGTTTGATTCAGCCTGCAGCTTTCTTTTTCATCCGCCGAAGGGCATTCTATGACCTTAAATGAAGGAAAAATCCATGGCAATGCCTACTGTTCAGATTGTGCCTGAGGCAAAGCAGCAAACCAGTCTGCAAACCCTGTCTCTGGCGTTTGCCGGCGATCCGTTTATGCGCTGGATGTTCCCCAACGCCGAGCAGTACCTTACCTATTTTCCGCAAATGGTCAGCCGCATGGCCGGCAGCGCATTTGGCCATGGCAGTGCACTCAGCACAGAACTGTATGAAGGTGCAGCCCTTTGGCTACCCCCGGGTGAGGCGCCAGAGGAAGAAGAGACGGTCAACCTGATGGTCGAAGCGCTGTCGCCAGATAGACTTGAGGCCATAGGTGAAGTTTTGGGAAAAATGGAATCGTTTCACCCGAAAGATGATGACTGTTGGTATCTGGCGTTTATCGGCGTGGATCCTGGGCATCAGAATAAAGGGTTGGGCTCTGCTCTTATGAAACACATGACGGCCAAACTGGATGAAGCTAATTGTCTCGGTTATCTCGAGTCTTCTAACCCAATGAATGTCTCTTTGTATCAGCGGCATGGGTTCGAAATTGTGGGAGAAATTCAGGCCGCTGATTCTCCCTCTATATTGCCTATGATCAGACCCAGGCAGAGTTAATACCCTTTCAGGTGGCAAAGTCACGCGACAAAAAATATTCGTTTGACAAGGGTTCTGGTTTGCCGTAGATTCGCGATCAGTAGATTCCTGCCCGATGTTCTTTTTCGAGTTTTCTCTCTTAGTTTATCGATTCGCTTCTATGACGTTCACAGGACAAGGTGTTTTGTGACGATTACTTTTGTGCGCAGCAGATTGAGCGGGTGTGCACATCCTAAAAACCTGGAAATCCAGGTACGGAGAAAATATGAAATTGTATGTAGGCAACCTTCCTTGGAGCACTACCGATTCTGACCTCGAAAGCATGTTTGGTGAGTACGGTGCTGTTCAATCAGCGTCTGTTATCACTGATCGCGAAACTGGTCGCTCACGCGGTTTTGGTTTCGTTGAAATGGGTGACGGAGAAGAGTGCAAACGCGCGATGAACGAACTCAACGGTCATCAGATCGAGTCACGCGCGTTAAAGGTCAATGAAGCTAATGACAAGCCAAAGCGATCTTCTAACTACTAAGATTAGTAGCTAGTCTTAAAAACCCGCCGTCAGGCGGGTTTTTTTTATCTCGATTTTCTTGACTGTAAAAATATGTCCATTATTCTAGACATATGGACATTAAAACTGCTCTGCGTGTATTCGACACATTGTCACAGGAAACCCGATTAAAGGCGTACCGGCGTTTGGTTCAGGCAGGGCCTGCAGGTCTTGCTGCGGGTGTGCTGAGTGATGCGCTGCAGATTCCGCACAACACGCTGTCATTTCATTTGAGTCATCTTGCTAATGCCGGTCTGGTGGAATCAACCAGGCAGGGACGTTCTGTCATATATACTGCCAATTTTGACGTTACCAGAGACTTCATCGCTTTCCTGGTAAAAGATTGTTGCTCTTCAGATTTGGCCACGATCCGCGAAGACAGCGTCAAAGGGTGTTCCATTATCGAACTGGCAGACTGTTGTTAGGCGTCATGGGAACTGATACGCCATGAAAAAAGTGTTAGTTCTCTGCACCGGGAACTCCTGTCGGTCGATTATCGGCGAAGCATTGATCAACGCGTTAGGGGCAGGTCGTTATCTGGCAAGTAGTGCGGGTAGTCATCCAACAGGTGAAGTCCATCCTCAGGCACTTGCAACGCTCAGCAACCATAAAATTCCCATTGACCAGGCGCGCAGCAAGTCGTGGGATGAGTTCAGCGCTGATTCTTTCGATGTGGTGCTCACTGTATGTGATGAAGCGGCTCGGGAAACCTGTCCTGTCCTTGTTGGCAAACATCAGAGAATTCATTGGAGCATACCCGATCCGGCGCGCGTCGCGGGGTCGTCGTCTGATATCCAGCTGGCCTTTGAATCGACTTATGAAGTGCTCCGTAAGCGTATTGAGGTAGAACTCCTGTCAGAGGATGTGCAGAGGTAAGTATGGGTTTGTTTGAACGTTATCTGTCGGTATGGGTTGCGCTGTGTATTGCAGCAGGCGTGGTGCTGGGCAGCTTTGCTCCAGATCTGTTTGCACTGATTGCTGATCTGGAATTTGCCAGCGTCAATCTTGTGGTGGCGGTATTTATCTGGGTAATGATCTATCCAATGATGATTAACGTTGATTTCAGCAGCCTGAAAAAAGTTGGACAGAAACCAAAGGGATTGTGTATCACGCTTGTGGTCAACTGGCTGATCAAGCCTTTTACCATGGCTGCGTTGGGTGTTTTGTTTTTCGAGTACGTGTTTGTCGGCCTGGTGGACCCGGAGACAGCGAAGGAATACATCGCCGGCATGATATTGCTGGGTGTTGCGCCGTGTACGGCAATGGTATTTGTCTGGAGTCAGCTGGTTAAGGGTGATGCCAACTACACGCTGGTGCAGGTTTCGGTGAACGACATCATTATGGTATTTGCCTTTGCTCCCATTGCAGCAATGTTGCTGGGCGTAACCGATATCGTGGTGCCCTGGGAGACGCTGTTACTCTCGGTGGTGCTGTATGTGGTGGTGCCGTTGATTGTCGGTTACTTCACGCGGGTATCGCTGTTAAAGGCGGGTGCGGCTAGAGTTGAAAGTTTTACTACGGCAATAAAACCTTTTTCGGTTCTGGGACTGTTGGCCACGGTGGTTCTGTTGTTCGGTTTTCAGGCTCAGACGATTCTGTCAGACCCACTTGTCATTGCTTTGATTGCCGTGCCGCTGTTGATTCAGGGCTACGGAATTTTTGCTGTTGCGTTTCTCTGGGCCTATCTGTGGCGTGTTCCGTTTGCCACCGCAGCGCCTGCGGCGTTGATTGGTACATCAAACTTTTTTGAGTTGGCGGTGGCTGTTGCGATCAGCTTGTTTGGGCTTAATTCCGGCGCCGCTCTGGCAACGGTTGTGGGAGTTCTGGTGGAGGTGCCGATGATGTTATCGCTGGTGGCGATAGCCAACCGTTCCCGTAGATATTTCGACACAGCCGCTGAACCTCATGGTTAGCGGCTGGTAGAATGATCTGCGCTAGTCTTCGGGCTGGTCCAGGTATTCGCTGAGACCGTATCCTACCCGCTCACCGTCGAGAGTGTACTGCGTCATGCCTTCACCCACATGTGTATGTGTACCTTTACGACGGTTGCGCAGGGGGATGTAACCCATCACGCGGCCCTCAAGTTGCCTGACACGACCGTCTTCCAGGGTCAGTTCCGCTGACAAAGCGGTATGGTAGTTGCTGTCGCCCGCATACTCTGTGTGCAGTTTTGTTTTAGTAATGCGCACCAGGTTCTGTCCTTCATGGAAAAGACCGCCACCTTCACCAGCGGAATTGGTGCGGACAATCATGCCCAGGTCGTCACCGAAGTTGCCGGTGATCCAGCGATAAGAGGGGGTGGCTTGCCAGTATCGTGGTCCCCAGGAATGGTCTCGCAATCCCCAGCCGGAAAATGCGACAGGCGCTTCGTCACCCATCTGGATTTCGCCACTGATGCGGGAGTGCTGCTCGGTGTGCGCGCGGGCAAACTGGTTGCCGTCATCGGGATCGCCGACGTGTCCGTACATAGGGCCAACGGCATCGTGCAACAGATTGATGCGCAGACGCTGATGTGGGTTGTTTTTGAAGGCTTTGCCTGGATCCGCCATGTCTTTGGGATCGGCGAGGAAGACTGCGCTGCCGTCATAGGTTGTGCGCACAGATTCCGCGGGAGAGAGCACATCAATTTTCAAGCCGCCGGCATCCCAGGCATCGTTATGAGTGATGGTGGGTTTTGCATAGTTGAACAGGGCAGAGCCGTCCGGGTTCCAGACGATGACTGTCATTTCCGCATAACCTTCATTGGCCCGATTACCGATGCGCACAAATCCGCCGCGGTTCTGTTTGGGATCGAAGAAGTTGAAGTAAACTGACTCGTTGAAATTTTCTTCTGGCCCCAACTCGTGGGTGTAATCGTCTTCAGCTTTAAGATTGCCGTATATGGCGATGCCATTTGGTGTTGTCTGCATGGGTTCTACTCCTGATTTGTCGCTACACGGATGACGCTTCCACCTTCACCATCAGTGAGCACATAAATACTCCCGTCTGGTGCCTGTCGTATATCTCGGATCCGATCCTTAATTTCACTGAAAACAGCAGATTCTTCAATCACCTTCAGATTGTCCATCTGCAGGTGCCGAACCTCGGCGTCAACTAGGGCGCCCACAAACAGGTCTCCCTGCCACTGGGGGAACATTGATCCTTCGTAGATCATCAGGCCCGATGGTGCAATTGAAGGCACCCATACTTTGATGGGTTGTTGCATGCCTGCAAATTCGGTGAACGGAGACACATAGGCGCCGTTGTAGTCCATACCGTAGGTGATGGCAGGCCAGCCATAGTTGTTGCCCGGCTCAATAATATTCACTTCATCACCGCCCTGGGGGCCATGTTCGTGTTGGAAGACAACACCCGCTTTGCTCACGGCAAGCCCCTGAGGGTTGCGGTGACCGTAGCTCCAGACATAAGGGGCGTTGCTGAATGGGTTGTCAGCAGGTGGCGTACCGTCTCGAGAGAGGCGGATGGTTTTACCAAAATGTGTATTCAGATTCTGAGCCTGTTCGCGAAAGTCAAAGCCGTCACCCGTGGTCAGGAGCAGGGTGCCATCGGGTAACCAGGCAAGACGGCCGCCGTAGTGGAGTGGGGCATATTTGCTGGGGGCTGCGGAAAATAGAACTTCCGTTGCTTCAAGATTATTGCCAACAAGCTGTGTGCGGGCCACCGTTGTGCTGTTACTTTCGGCGTCGCCGGCTGCATAGGAAAGATACAGCATCTGGTTCTCAGCAAAGTCAGGATCCAGAACCACATCAAAAAGCCCACCTTGACCAGCGCGATAAACCGCAGGCACACCTTCTATGGGGGTAATCGCGCTGCCGTCTGCAGAAATGCGCAGCAGATTGCCGCCCAGTTCCGCGATCAGATGGTCGCCGCCCGGTAAAAAGGCAATGCTCCAGGGAAAGCTCAGATTTTCAGCAATGGTGGTTAATTGATACTCGGACGTGTTGGCCTGGGTGCTTGCTGCGTGGCCGAGCAGGCAGATCAGTAACAGCTTGTGCCAGCGGCTGCTCTTTTGCTGATACTTGCGTTGCGCAGCGGGCGACACTGGGGTGGCGGTGAACATATTTGTATTCTTATAAACGGCGTCGATAATGCTATGGTAACCCGTTGTGTAGATTGACCCAAAGCGCTACTGACTTTGGTTAAGGAATGAGATTGAAATTAGTTCTAGCTTTTATTCTGGCTGTTGTGACCACTTATGTGGTTGCGGTGCTCGCGTATACCCAATTGAATCTGGCTAATGTTGTGGAGATGGGGCTGCCAGTGAGTTTAATGGACCGGGTCGGCGCTGCGGGTCACGACCTGATCGGCATGACCAGTTTATATCTGCCCATCATAGCGGTAGCGCTGCTGCTGGCGTTTGGGTTCACCGCCATTGTTCTGCGTTGGGTGCCACAGCTCCGTACGCTGGGGTATATGCTTGCCGGGTTTGTAGGCATTTTTGTGGTCGACTATGCGCTGGGGGCTCTGTTAACCGGCGGCACACATCCGCTGGCGGTTACCCGTACGACGGTAGGTCTGCTGTCACAGTGTGTTGCAGGTGCTCTAGGTGGGTATGTGTTCGTGCTTTTGTCTAGCAAAACCGAATAAACACTGGTCTTGTTACAGACCGGCCACTGTGGCGTAGTCAGACCAGTAGTCTGGATAGGTCTTGGCAACAACGTTCTTGTCATCCACAGCAAGCGTGCCGCTGACACTACCCAATAACGAGAACGCCATTGCCATACGATGATCGTGATAGGTTCGTAACGTGTGCGGACGCATGGCTTGTTCGCCCAGTGGCTCAACACAAATACTCTCATCGGTTGTCTGCGCGTTTATCCCCATGTCGGCAAATTCTGTTGCCGGACATTCCAGGCGGTCACATTCTTTGTGATGCAGTGAGCTTAAACCGCTGATGGTCAGTGCTGCGGGAAGTAGTGGCGCCATAGCGATAAGGGTCAACGCCGCGTCTGGCATCGTTGTCATGTCTATCGAATCTATTGCGGACAGGGTTGTCGGGCCCTTGATGTGTGTTTGATTTCTGTTGCGCACAACATCTGCGCCCAATTGCTCCATGACGGTAAAGAACTGGTAATCACCCTGCACTGTGCTGTCTCCCAGGTTATCCAGTGTCAGGCTACCCCCATGCAGTGTAGCCAGGGCGGCGAAGTAAGTTGCCGCGGTTGCATCACCTTCTATCTGTATTTCACCCGCCTGGTAAGCCCCACGTTCGACTTCCAGGGTTTGCGCGTTGATCCATTGGCTATGCACGCCACGTTTTTTCATTTCGTTAAGCGTGATGTCGATATAGGGTCGGGATACCAGATCCCCGGTAATGTGGATCAGCTGTTTTTCAGCGCCATCCTCTGTATTCGTTGCGCAATAAGGTGCACATAACAACAGTGCAGTGACATATTGACTGGATAAGCTGGCATCAATTTGCATCACGGGCTTCGGTCGCAAGGGGCCGGATATGGTCACGGGTAATCCGCCGCTTGCAGACTCTACCTGGCAGCCTTGCTCGCGCAACACGTCATAAAGGGGGGCGTTTGTGCGAACTCTCAATGAACTGTGGCCGTCCAGGGTGGTACGGCCGCTGCGCAGTGCGGCTATGCCAATCAGCAACCGGGTTGATGCGCCACTCATTCTCGCATTCAGAGAGATGTCTTTGTGCAGATCGATCGGACCGGTCACAAGAATTCGATCACCGTCTTTGGACACGTCTGCACCAAGTGCGGCAATACATTCCAGCATGGCATCAGCATCATCGCAGTCGGGCACACCTGCAATCGCGCTTGTACCGCGAGCCAGTGCCGCCATAGCCAGTTGGCGCAAGGCGATGGATTTGCTGCCTGGCAGGGTGAGGTGGGCGTTGTGCACAATGCCTGAGATACGCGGAATAACAAATGGGTGTGTTGTGCTTGAGGTATTCACGCCTGGCCTGTACTTGCTCTTGGGAAAAAGAAAAGGAGGTATTCTGGGGTATCAGGGTCAATCGAGCAAAGAAAAGCCGCCTTGCGGCGGCTTGAAAATTCCCCAATTTTTATTGTTTTGCTGGGAATCTAGAGTATCAATGTGAGACGTTCAGTCTCATCGCGTCGCTTTCACTGTTGCCATCACGCTGAATGCTGGCTCTGGTAAAAACTTTACGCGTGCCGTTCCCCGGACCCGGCAGGGCATAATCTATGCGCGCACGGTAACAAACTGAAACAAATAGAGCAACCCTGTTTGCGCGCTAAATCAAGCAGTTAAAGCCTATATCTCTAACAGGCCACGGAACTATACTGGCGTCAGCAGGGAGGTTGAAATGCAGAATCTTTATACGCAGTTGGATGCGGTATTTACCGCGCATAGTGAAAAACCTTGTTTGATTCTAGATGATCACAAGGTATGGAAATTCAGAGACTTACGCGGGGTAGTTGCTGTCGCAGCTGAGCGATTGATTGGATTCGGCGTAACGCCAGGCGATCGGGTTGTGGTGCAGGTCGAGAAATCTCCGCACAACCTGGCCCTTTATCTGGCTACCTTGTGTGTCGGGGGCGTTTACGTGCCGCTGAACACTGCCTACACAGAAGCTGAACTGAAGTACTTTGTAGAGGATGCCGAGCCCGCCTTATTTGTGGGTAGTCGAGCCCGCTCCGACGTGACCAGTGCCACGCTCGATGCTCAGGGTGCGGGGTCTTTTTTTGCTGAAGTGCCCATGCCGGGTGTTTCTGACATCCATCTAAATCTGGGTACTCCATCGATTGCACCTCGCCACGGCGATGACCTGGCCGCCATTGTGTATACGTCAGGTACCACAGGTCGCTCGAAAGGCGCCATGCTAAGTCATGCGAACTTAACGATTAATGCAGAGGCTTTGTCCGTTGCCTGGGGTTGGCAGACCGATGATGTCCTGTTGCATGCGTTACCTGTATTTCATGTGCATGGGTTGTTCATCGCCAGTCATTGCGCGCTGTTAAATGGTACACCCATGCGTTGGATGAATAAATTTGATGCCGCCAGCGTGCAGCAAGCGCTGGCGGAATGCACGGTGATGATGGGTGTGCCTACCTTTTATTCCCGGTTGCTTGCGTTGCCGGAATTTCCCGCTGTAAATCTGGATCACATGCGATTGTTTGTATGCGGTTCCGCGCCGCTGACAGAGCAGGTTTTCGAACAGTGGCAGACCCGCACCGGCCATACCATCCTTGAGCGTTACGGCATGAGTGAAACCATCATCAATACGAGTAATCCATTGGACGGTGAACGATTGCCGGCAACGGTTGGGTTTCCATTACCCGGGCTCGAACTGCGTATTGCTGACGGTGATGGCAACGAAGTGCCCACAGGGGAGGTGGGCACTATTGAAGTAAAAGGTCCAAGCGTTTTCAGCGGCTACTGGCATATGCCGGAAAAGACTGCCAGTGAATTTCGCAAGGACGGTTTTTTCATCACGGGCGACCTCGGCACGGTTGATGAGGAAGGTCGTTTATCGATTGTTGGCAGGGCAAAAGATTTAGTTATTTCAGGTGGTTACAACGTTTATCCAAAAGAAGTCGAGCGTGTCCTGGATGAGATGCCAGAGGTTCGCGAGAGTGCTGTTATCGGCGTGCCCCACGCAGATTTTGGTGAAGCGGTAGTAGCGGTTATTGTGCCGGTGCACGCGCCGGTCACATTGGCCCAGGTTGATGCCGCGCTGGGTAGTCAGCTGGCCCGTTTTAAACAGCCCAAGCGAGTTGTAAATGTGGATTCGCTGCCCCGCAATACGATGGGTAAAGTGCAGAAGAATGTGCTGAGAGAGACTTACCAGGACATTGTTAACCAGGAAGTGACTTGAGGCGCGCGGAAGTTCAGCGCCGCGAGCGCGGCGCTGATAAGCAGACCTGTGAGCGGCGGGTTAAGACCTAAGAGGCGTCTGCCAATGTCAGTGATTCTCGCAGTTCGCGTTTGAGGAACTTACCAGAGGCATTTCTGGGTAACGCATCGTCGGTGAACCAGATGTAACGGGGTATTTTTGGCGCTGCTATGAGTGCCCGCAGGTGGGTGCGCAGTTCCTCTGCACTGGCTTTAGCGCCCGCTTTCAGGTGCACGGCAACGCCAACCTCTTCACCAAGACGGTCATCAGGTACACCAAAGACAGAACACTCAGCCACAGCAGGATGTTCGAACAGCGCGCTTTCAACTTCAGCGCAATAGATGTTCTCACCCCCCCGAAGCACCATGTCCTTTATGCGATCGACGATAAACAGGAAGCCATGTTCATCCATACGTGCCACATCACCTGTATGCAGCCAGCCTTCTTCAATGGTTTCACTCGTCGCGTCAGGTCGGTTCAGGTAACCGCGAATCACCTGAGCGCCGCGTACCAGCAGTTCACCGGTTTGACCCAGTTCGACCTCTTTGCCATCGGCGTCAACAATCCTGGCTTCAAAGCAGGGCATTGCAGGACCACAACTTGCCGGCTTATCGACAAAAAAGTCGCCGCCTATGGAGGTGATGATGCCGCAGGTTTCGGTCATACCGTAGCCGGTATTCGGTCGGGCGGTGCTGACGGTAGAATCAATTTTTGCAACCAGATCGGGTTGCAGCTGGGCGCCGCCGCCACCCAGGCTGAGTAGGCTGGAGGTGTCTGTTTCGGCGAACCTGGGGTGTGAGATCAATTCCCGGGCCATCGTCGGTACCCCGCTCATGGCACTGACTTTTTCGCGTTCGATCAATTCCAGGGCTTCGCCAGCATCCCATTTGTACATATGCACCAGCTTGCCGCCAGCCAGAGTGGTGCCCTGGGCAACACAGTTGTTGGCGGTAACATGGAAAAGGGGTGTTGTGACAAGTGCGGAAGGTGCAGGGGTCGGTGCGCCGGGTTCTATGAGACCCTTACGTTCCGCGATAGTTCGTAGTATGGCGCCAGCAAACAACATCGAATAAATATTGCTCACACAGCCACGGTGGGTAAGTTGTGCACCTTTCGGATGACCGGTGGTACCTGAGGTATAGAAAATACAGGCGTCGCTATCCGGGTCAATGTCTACCAGCGCCACGTCTGCGCTGCCTTTTAACAAGTCGTCCCACGGAACAACGCCAGCAGGCATGTCCGTCATGCGAACGCCGACCAGCTTGATCTGCTCAATTTCTTTTTCATGACCCGCCAGACGGTCATAGCGTTCCTGGTCGAGGATGAGCACCTTGGGCATCGAGTCGTTGAGCGCGTACATCATTTCTGGACCGGTCCACCAGGCATTCATGCCCACAACGGTAGCGCCGATATATAAGGTTGCCCAGTAAGCCTGCAGCCATTCAGGATAGTTGCGCATGGCGATGGCAACATGATCGCCAGGTTGCACACCCTGTTCACCAAGCCAGGCGGCTATCTGTTTCACACGGGTATGTACTTCGTTATAGGTCAGCCGTTCATCTTCGTAGACCAGGTAATCGTTGTCACCAAATTGCGCAGAACTTAGAAATACATCGCGCATGTTGCCGGGTGCGTTGGCGTAAATCCGGGTTGGATTGCCGCGAATTTCTTTCACTGCTATTTCGAATTCCGCACCGGGTGCAATCAGGCTTTGCCAGATATTCTGATACTCTTCGTACAAGGTCTCTCCCTCAATTCTCTCCAAAATTAAGCGGCAAAAGTTAACACGTATTTCACCCGGGTGGGCAACCTTTTGCGCCCTTGCGCTGGCTTTTGCGGGTTTCTAATCTGCGGATGAAACGTGCACAATCCTTCTCTGAGGAATAATTACAGCAGAGGACAGCAGAATGAAAATCGGCATTATACCGGTGAATATCGGGGTAGATTCAGTAGAGCAGATGACTGGGCTTGCGCAACTGGCAGAAGGTTTAGGCTTCGAATCTGTATGGACTTTTGAGCACGTCATTGTGCCGCTGGATTATCAGTCCAAGTACCCGTACAGCCCCACGGGCAAAATGGGCGCTGCGCCGGAAACCAATTTTGTCGACCCGCTGATTGCACTGTCGCATATTGCGGCAGCCACAAAAACACTCAAGCTGGGTACAGGGGTAAATATTCTGCCCCAGGCGAATCCTCTGTATCTGGCCAAGCAGGCCGCAAGTCTGGACTTCGTTTCCCAGGGAAGGCTGCTGCTGGGTTTAGGCATAGGCTGGCTGCGCGAAGAATTCGAAGCGCTTGGCGTGCCATTCGAAAAGCGCGGTGCTCGATTTGATGATTATCTCGAGGCCATGCAGAAGCTCTGGCAGGGTGGGGTGGCGGATCATCAAAGTGAGTACCTTGATTGGCAGGGTTTCAAAAGCTTTCCCAGCGCTCCGGAACTGGCCGTTGTCATTGGTGGCAATAAAGGCAAAGCCTTCGATCGAGTGGCCAAATATGGCCAAGGTTGGTTTGCACCCACTACCGATGCCGGTGAGTTGAGCGCCGATATGGAGAAACTTAGAGCCGCGTGCGATGCACACGATCGTGATGCCTCCCAGGTGGAAATAACCTGCATGTGGACAGGTCAGGGGGGTGATGAAGCGGTGCAGGCCCTGGCTGCTGCGGGCGCCCATCGTTTACTGGTACCGTTGCAGGCACTTGGTGCTGACCCGATAGCGGGCATGCAGGGATTGGCTGCAGAGGTGATCGCAGCATAAAAGAATTGGCAACACACGCTGGGTTGGTGCAGCACCTCAGGGTGATTGTGCCCGTGTTGCACGACGATAATCACCTGAAGGTGTTGTTGAAGTGGCTGGCGGAACATCAACTGGCGGCCATTGTTGTGGATGGCGCTGCCAGCGAGGTGACGCAAAGGCTTGTGACCACTCCGCATGAATACATAGCCCATCCACCAGGGAGAGGCATGCAGATCGCTTGTGGTGTCGCTGCCTCTGCCGTGCCCTGGATATGGGTTCTGCATGCAGATGGTTTACCAAGCAGCGCTGCGGTAAGCCAGTTGGGTGGCCTGGTCGAGGCTGATGAGCCTCGTTGGGGTCGCTTCAACGTGAAAATACAGGGCCTCGCGCTGATTGCGCACACGATGAACCTGCGGTCTCGATTCAGCAGAATCTGTACCGGAGATCAGGGCATGTTTTTCCATGCAGGTCTGATTCAAGCAATAGGTGGTTTCCCGGCACAGCCGCTGATGGAAGATATTGAAGTCAGCCGGCGCCTCAAAGCGGTTGCATCAAGTGCGTTTGTGGCCTTGAGCGCAACTGTTGAAACGTCGCCGCGCCGTTGGCGCCAGGCGGGGGTTATTCGAACAGTACTTTCAATGTGGGTATTCCGTTGGCGCTACTTTTTTGGTGCGGATCCCGTTGTTCTGGCGCGCGCTTACTACCGTGGTTGATGATCTTCAACAGGCATTAGCCGTGTTCACCCGAACGCCTGTAATGGGTAAAACGAAAACCCGCCTGGCGAAATCGTTGGGCAAAGCCGAAGCGTTGGCGGCGCACATTGAGCTGGTGCAGGGTTGCCTGGGCAGGTTGCAGCTGCAGGCGGATGCACGCTGCGAATTGTGGGTTACTGACGATGCGCCTATTGTCGCCCAGTGGGCGGATCGGTATCACTTCGATCTGCGGTATCAATGCGAAGGCGATCTGGGCGCGCGCATGTATCACTGTCTGGCGCAGATGTTCTTAGCGGATGTGTCGGTCGCAGTGCTGGTTGGCACGGACTGCCCGGATATTGACGGGCGTTATGTGCGGCAGGCCTTCCGCGCGCTGCAGAGCAACGACGTTGTGTTTGGTCCTGCTGAAGATGGTGGGTATGGCCTGGTTGGCATATGTCACTCTGCCATGCCGGCGGCAGTGACACTGTTCCAGGATATTGCATGGGGCAGCTCGACTGTGCTGGCGCAGAGTCTGGAGCGAGCTGCTGAGGCGCAGTTGTCGGTTGTTCAGTTGCCGGTGATCTGGGATGTTGATCAGGTCGCGGATTGGCGCCGCTATCAGCATATCGAAAAGGGTTAAGTCGACTCGGCGTTTCGTGAGATGGTCTGAATGAAGTGTTCAAGCCGGCGTCGGTCTGTGACATGCATTTTTGTCAGCTCAATGCCGCACACCAGTTTCTGACTGTGCTTGTTCTCATGGAAATGGCGGATGACCGCCTGGCCATGCAGCTCCAGCAGCTTCGGGATCGTAATCGCGCAGCTGTCAAAGCAATCGTCATTTTTCACCGGCCAAGGCGCGGGCAGGTCAAATTCAGCGCGACACCCGCCAGCAGATATGTCGATTATTCGACCTGAGATTTCCTTTTCGCTGAAGAAGCTGATGCGTGCGCCGCTTGCGCTTACCCGAAGCGGTAAGCGGAATCTTGCCGCTCGGCGTCTTTGTTGTGACAGTATTGAGGTAGGCAGCTTGAGTTCAAAGAACGGTATTCCTCGCTCGGCATCCATTTTCAGCAGTTTGGTTTTTTCGATGAACACAAACATGCCTTCGGCTCGCGCCGACAGGCTCAGTCGCTTACTTTGTCGAAGTGCTCCGATGCCGCTCCGAGGTTGAACATCTTCAATCAGGAAGCTGTTATCACCTACGTCCAGAAGCTTGCACTGATAAGTTTCTTCTGTTTGATCAATTCGGATAGACAGGTTTGAACGACGGTCGCGCAGTTGTTTCAGGCAGCTGACGATGTCATCGACATTGCGTAGATAGCGACTGTCAGCCGGTAGCACCGCACCCAAGGCTGGTTCCGGCTCAGACATTATCTGGTATCCACAGGGGGGGTGTTTCAGGCGCTGATAAAAGCACCGCTGTTTGCGGAGCCTTTGGCGTCCTGCTGTCCGGATTGTCCGTATAAACCGTCAATGGACTGTCCACTCATTATTCCCAATATCTCTCGAACAGATTGTTGCGAACGGTGCAGGATCTTTCCGTTAACCAGGTTGTAATCTCGGGCTTGCATTGCCAGTTGCGCAAGCGAAACGTGACTGGGGTCAAGCTGTAAGTCTGTCTGGGTTTCGCCGGCGGCTGCCTGCGCGATTTTTTGTCCCAGGGCCGGCGCTGCAGCAAGCCTTTGGCTGATGTGATTGCAGACGTCGAGTTTCTGCGAAGAGAGCGTCTCCAGGCGCGCACCATCATGATGAATGAGTGCATCTCGTTCATCAATGAGCAGTGCAATCAGTGCCCGAAACAGTGTTTCAAGGGCGCTTTCATCGGGACTGATATTCTCGAAATCACTATCGATTGACATTGTAACTCATTGTTAAAGCTTGGATTCTAGTTTTAGAAAATTTTCCGCCAGTCGCTGATTATCTATGGGGTATTGGCCTTGCTCGATGGCTTGCCGGATCTCTTTAACCCGGGCATCGTCGAAACTCTCCTGGCGTTCCAGGCGCGCTTCCAGAGCTTTTAAGACAGCTGCATCGTCACTGATTTTCACCGAATCCTGCGCACGGCCTTCCTGTTGCCCCGTCGCGTCACTGCGGGGTGACTTCGACTCCTCGCGGGTCCGCTCAGCGGCATTAGGGTTGGTCTGCGCAAGTCCGCCAAACCGATTGTTGATATCAATAGCCATGATTCAGTGCTTCAACTTAAATTTACCTATAGTCGATATCGACTGATATTGAATTAACTTTAGTAGAAATTTCAAAAAAGTCTGCCTGGCGCCTTTTTTATCACGATAGAGCGTCAGCCCTGGAAATCCGGCGCGACGGTACCCACCTGCCCAGGTCCGATAATCCAGGGTCTGATGATCCGTGCAGAGCTGTCGTTGCGTACCTGTATCTGCTCACCGATGCGACCGCTGGCCATGGCCGTACCGTAAGAGGTAATGCTGACACGTCCGCTGTTGGCGGTGATGCGTACACGTTCACCTTTACCAACTGCCATCGGCGCTTCAAGGTGATTGGTGTTTAACACGGTATCTGCTCTTAATGCGCGCCGCGCGATTTTACCCACAGCTTCTTTAACCTCAGAAATATGGTTGTTCCTCGACTGTTGTAACCATTGCGTCTTCACTTGAAGGTCGCTGTCCAAGACCATCTCCCCGCGACTGATTGCGCGGCGAGTGGTGATCACTTCGACGGCTACTTTCACCTCAGCACTGGCATAAAGGGACCAGTTAGCTGGGCCCAGGCAGCGCACGTGTACAGGTACACGTCCAGCAAGGACTTTGGTTTTTATCTCGGTGGCAAAAGCGTTGCAGGGTTTCAGGTGGGCCGCGCTGCTTACCGGTAAAACGGAAAACTTGTAGTTACCCGATGGATAGCTTTCAGCCAGCTGTTTTTCTAATGCAGCACCGACCTGTTCTTCTATGACGTTTGCGGCTGCCGATATGTTTTGAAAAAGGCAGACCCAGAACAGCAACAGGGCAAGAACTGATTTTGGCGTGTTTCTTTTATTCATGATGGATAACTCATCAGGTGACGTCGAAGTAATAGCACATTCGCGTCAAATCACCGGCGCTTGCCGGCAATAAATACAATGCAGATTCATTTGGCCTGTTTTTCGGCAACTTTTTACCGCTTGGCCCGGCAAAAGGTTGCCGGAAAATGCTGTGCCACCCTCGCTTTGTCCAGAATGCTCGGTTTACATCGGTTTAATCGAATTGGCACGGAGTTTGCTTTGTTGTCCACATCAAAGTTATTTGCTGGCGCAATTCCACAGGGGAACGTGCGGGCAGTCTGAGGTAGGAGCAATGGATGACCATCAGTATTGATAATGCACTGGGTGTGCATGCCAAGGCGTTGGAATTACGAGCCGAACGTACAGAAATACTGGCGCGAAATATCGCCAACGCGGACACACCTGGATACAAAGCCCGGGACATCGATTTCAATTCGATCCTGCAGGCGCACAAGTCGGCGGGCACCAGCGAGCCCCGTGGCGGGCGTGTTATGCGCACTGACAACCGTCATTTCGCAGCGGATCAGGGTCCCGGCGTTGACGTTTCGCTGCAATACCGCAACCCGATAATGCCCTCGTTAGACGGCAACACCGTTGATACCCAGCTGGAACAGGCTGAGTTTGCCAAGAACAATCTGCAATTTCAGGCCAGCTTCCAATTTTTGAACAGTAAGTTCAAAGGCATGATCACGGCGCTTAAAGGAGAGTAAATCTGATGGCCATTATGGATGTATTTAATGTTTCAGGCAGCGGTATGGCGGCGCAATCTCTGCGCTTGAATACCACTGCCAGCAACATCGCCAATGCAGAAAGTGTGTCGGCGAACCCGGCGGATACCTACCGGGCCCGATACCCGGTTTTTCAGGCGAGTCTCGACAACGCGATGGACTCTCAGGAGGCCAGTACAGCAGTCACCGTGCCCGGCATCATCGAATCTGACAAGCCGCTCAACATGCGCTACGAACCTGATCATCCTTACGCGGACGATAAAGGATATGTCGCATATCCCAACGTCAGTGTGGTGGAGGAGATGGCCAATATGATTTCTGCCAGCCGCTCCTTCCAGGTCAACGTAGAAGTGATGAACACTGCCAAAACCCTGTCTGAGCGTCTGCTCACGCTGGGTCAATAAAGTTTTAGGGAAATATTATGAGTTTAGAGCTGTCTTCGGTACGTACTGTGAGTGATCTGAACGCCAGTGCAACCGGCCCCGGGAAAAAAGAGGAAGAGCTGGGTAAAACCGCCTTTCTGGAACTGATGATCGCCCAGGTTCAAAATCAGGATCCGCTTGAGCCCGCTAAAAACGAAGCCTTTATCGCTCAGCTGGCTCAATTCTCGAGTGTTGAAGGTATTCAGAATCTCAATGAATCCATGGATTCTCTGGTTTCAACCTTTCGTGCCAGTGCTGCAGTGGATGCTTCAGCGCTTGTCGGCCGCAACGTACTTATACCCACCAACCAGACAGCATTGAATACCAGCGGCGGAATCGGAGGCAGTATCTCGGTGCCTGAGGCCGTAGGTGAACTGACCGTCACCATCCAGAACAGCAGTGGCCAGACGGTGCAGCAGGTCGAACTGGGTGCGCGTCCGCCGGGTGAAGTGCGCTTTAACTGGGATGGTTTGAGCCAGAACGGCGAACCCGTCCCACAGGATTTTTATCGCATCGCTGCGTTTGCCGATGTGGATGGTATCCAGCAACAGTACGAAGTGAGTTTGCCTGACCAGGTGGTCAGCGTCTCGATAACCAATGAAGGCCTGATCGCAAATCTTGCGGGCGGTGCTTCAGTGTCTGCATCGCAGATCAAAGAAATTCAATAAGCAGTAACTCTCGCTAATACGTCTAACAAGGAGAATGTCGTATGTCGTTTAATGTCGCCCTCAGTGGTATGAGTGCAGCGTCCAGTGATCTTCAGATCACGGGTAACAATATTGCCAACGCCAGCACCATCGGCTTTAAGGCCAGTCGGGCTGAATTTGCAGACGTTTACGCGTCTAGTCTTTTAGGCACCGGATCCAACCAGGTTGGGGCTGGTGTAAAGCTTGCCAACGTTGCCCAGCAGTTTGAGCAGGGCACAATATCTTTTACCAATAACAGCCTGGATCTGGCGATTGATGGCAACGGCTTTTTTGTCCTCAGTGATAATGGTGCCCGTTCCTATACAAGAGCGGGCTCATTTGCTGTGGATAACGAAGGCTTTATCACCAGCAGCACCGGTGCTCGAGTGCAGGGCTTTACCGCGAACGATGGCGGTACGCTAAGTGGTATTCTGGGTGACCTGCAGATTAATACATCGAACCTGCCACCTCTGCAGACCACGCTGGTTGAAGCGAATGTCAACCTGGATGCGCGGGCGACAGTTTTATCGGAGCTGGGTAGTGAGCTGGTTACAACCGGTTCAGCAGTAGGGGTTGCACAGTTAGGATTACCGTCACCAACAGCATCGCGTCTGGACACCAGTGGTGCGCCGATACCTTTCGACTTCTCCGTAGATACTGAATCAAGCATAGGCGCTGATGCTGTTCTAACGCCTTTTGATTTTTCCGGTGCCGCGGCCTCTTCTTTTCAGGTACAGCTGACAGGCTCCAGTGTGCCAACTGAAAACACCACGGTGACAGTTAACCTCGACACCAATATTGCTACGCTTCAGGATCTGATTAATGCCGTGCGTAACGATCTGGCGGGCTCTGGCATTGGCATTGACGTCCGTGAAGATCCGGTGAATCTGGGTCGTTTGCAGTTTTTTGCCGTAAACAGCGGTGAAAACAGCACGATTACGATTGATCCTAACGATTCTGCAGTACTCGGTGCGGGCGTAACCCAGGCAGATATTGAAGCTGTTCTGGGCGGTATAGCTCTCGGTCAGGGCGGTGGCGCTGGTGCCAGTAATATTAATCCGGACCCTTACGGCGGTACCGCAACTGCGGGGGCAATAGGCAATATTTCTTCAGCGACCTTTGACATAACGCTGGCAGGCTCCAGTGGTAACAACGGTACTGCAACGATCAACCTGGATTCTGATATCAGCGATGCTGCAACGCTTATTGCTGATATTGAAAATGAACTGATCGCCTCAGGTATCAGTGTAAGTGTGCAGCTGGACCCTGCTGATTCATCGCGGATACAGTTTGTAACATCGGTCCCCGGTGAATCTTCATCCATTAGTATTGGCAATCTCGATACATCGAATATTGGTGTTTCGCAAAGTGATTTGACTGGAGTGTTGAGCCTTGCAACAGGTGTTTCTGCACCGGGCATCGCGGCTGCCAGTAATGGCTACAGCGCTCAGTCTGTGGATGTTATTTATCCTGATGGCAACGTCATTTCTGTTGATATAGATGAAGGCGCGACCGCTGCTCAAATCGCGGCGCAGTTTGCCAGTGCCACGTTGCCCGATGTGAGCGCATCGGCTCGTACAACAGCGACTCTTGCTGCCACCGAGTACAACAATACCAGTGGCACGCTGGAGCTCAGTATCAATGGTGTAAGCGTGTCAGGCACAACACTTGCTGAGCTGAATGACAGTATCAACCTTGGTTTGCCGGGTTTAGGCACGGTCAGTTCTGTCATTGATACCAATGGCGATCTTGTGATCCAGGATCAGGTAGGTAACGACCTTGTATTTGCAGCGGCTGGGGACGTAGCTGATTCGCTTGGTATTCGTGGTACCCAGAGTCTTGGCGTAACCCTGGATACAACCGGTAATTCGGTTGCGGCAGTGGGTGGTGAAATTGATATCACACTCAACGAAGGTATCACCATGGCTAATGCACAGCCTGCGGTGACAAACATTTTTGGGGTGTTGGATGAAAATGCGTTCAGCCAGTTTTCGCTGAACACTTTCGATCCAACCAATCAGGACACCTACAACGCAGCAACATCACTGACGATTTTTGACAGCCTGGGTAACCCGCACGCGTTAAGCCTCTACTTTGTTAAAGAGCGCTTCACTCCGGATGTGCCGGGAGAAGAAGAAAACCGTTGGTCAACCTATGCTTTGATTGATGGTCAGAATGTAGGCGATCCGGATCCAAACTTACCGCCACCTCAGAATCAGGACGCAACCCTGGCGCGATTTGCCCTGCAGTTCAATTCAGATGGCACACTGAACCCTTCGGGAACAGATCCAATTCTGGTATCCAACTGGGTGCCTCTGGATGAAGAAGGTAACCCTAACGGCGCTGTAGGTCCGCAGAACATTCTTAGTGGCGGTGGGCTACCGGTACCTCAACCACCAGGCAGTTCGAATTTTGAACTTCGTTTGACAGACTCTACCCAGTTTGGACAGGACTTTGCTCTGGGCTCCATAGAACAAAATGGTTTTGCTACTGGTAAATTGTCTGGTCTTGCAATTGATGATTCAGGTGTTGTTGTTGCACGTTTTACCAACGGGCAGAACTCAACCCTGGGTCAGATCGCCATCGCAGATTTCACCAATACTCAGGGTCTTACCTCGGTGGGTGATACATCCTGGATTGAAACCAATCAGTCAGGACCGCCGGTGGTTGCCGCGCCGGGGTCAGGCTCGTTAGGTAGTGTGACGTCAGGTGCGTTGGAAGACTCGAACGTTGAATTATCGGAACAGTTGGTGCAGTTGATTATCGCGCAACGAAATTTCCAGGCTAACTCCAGGACAATTTCGACTGCAGACGAAATCACTCAAACCATCATTAATATCTGATGGATCGCTTGTTATACGTTAGTGCTGTCGGGCTTGGCAATATTGAGCAAGCCCAGACAGCGCGAGCTAACAATCTGGCAAATGTTTCGACCAATGGCTTTCGTGCAGATCTTGCTCATGTCATGGCAAGTGAAGTTGACGGGCAGGGCTACCGTGCCCGGGTGTACGGTGTAAACGAAGCGCAAGGCGTAGATTTGAGTCCGGGTTCAGCGATAGAAACCGGGCGTGATCTCGATCTGTCTATTAATGGTGACGGCTTGTTTTCCGTCATTGGTCCTGATGGCAACGAAGCGTATTCACGTAATGGTGCCTTTCAGGTTGATGCTGCCGGGCGACTGCTTACCCAGCAAGGGTTACCGGTGCTCGGCACAGGTGGCCCGATAGCGTTGCCACCTTACGAAACCATTGTGTTTGGTAATGACGGCACCGTCACAATCCGGCCCCAGGGCCAGGGACCTGATGCTCTGGTGCAGATTGACCAGCTCAAACTGGTCAGCACTGCACCTGAGAATCTGCGAAAAAACGGGGCAGGCTTGCTGGTTACCAATGACGAACTACCCTTAGTCAGGGATCCAGGTGTTTCTGTCACCTCTGGTTTTCTGGAGTCATCGAATGTCAATGCGGTTAATGAGCTGACTGAAATTCTTGCTCTGGCAAGACAGTTCGAGCTGGAAGTCCGGATGATGAAAGTTGCAGAAGACAATGACAGTGCTGCAGCACAATTACTGCGAGTCGGTTGATGTTGAAGCCGACACGCACAAGCTTAGAACAGAAGGGATAATTACCATGAATTCTGCATTATGGGTCAGCAAGACGGGTTTGAGCGCACAGGATACGGCTTTGCGCACAATCTCCAACAACCTGGCCAACGTTGGGACAGTCGGCTTCAAGAAAGACCGTGCGGTTTTTGAAGATCTTGTTTATCAGATTAATCAACAGCCCGGTGGCCAGGCCACCCAGGATGCAACTTTGCCTTCAGGTGTTCAGCTCGGAACCGGCGTACGTATCGCAGGCACGCAGAAGCAGTTCACAATGGGTGCTTTACAGAATACGGAACGGTCGTTGGATCTTGCTATCGAAGGCCGAGGTTTCTTCCAGATCTCCATGCCGGATGGTTCTTTAGGCTATACGCGTACGGGTAGTTTCACGCTTGATCAGGATGGTCAGATGGTTACTGCTCAAGGCTATGCATTAGAGCCGGCTATCAATGTTCCCCAAGGCGCAACAAGTGTAACCATCGGTGAAGATGGCACCGTTAGTGTGCTTGTCGGCGGTGACACAGGCACCACTCAGGTGGGTAACCTGCAGCTGGTAGATTTTATCAATCCAACAGGCCTTGAATCGCTTGGTGGAAATCTTTATCGCGAAACTGTTGCCAGTGGTGCTGCCTTACAGGGCACGCCTGGCCAGAATGGTATTGGTCAGGTTGCACAAGGCATGTTGGAAGCTTCAAATGTGTCTGTAGTCGAAGAAATGGTCAATATGGTGGCGACCCAGCGTGCCTACGAGATGAATGCCCGTGTGGTCTCCACAGCGGATCAAATGCTGCAGTATCTTTCGCAGAATATTTAAGGGGCTATATGAAAAGCTTACTGTCAGCTTGTTTTGTTTTGTTTGCTTTAACCGGTTGTGTAACACCGGAGCCCAGTCGGTCTGAGCCCGTTTACCAACCTGTCTGGCCAGATATGCCACAGCCGCAAGCGGTGAACGCTGGATCTCTGTTCACCGATGGGCCAAACCTCGCTTTGTTTGATGATCGCCGCGCCGGATTTGTTGGAGATGTCGTCACAATCATTCTCGATGAACAGACCCGTTCGAGTAAAAGTGCGGAAACCTCTATACGCAAAGAAAGCAGTAATGAACTTCTCAATCCAAAAATATTTGGCAGCGTGATCAGAGGAACGGGCGCTGACGATATCTTCGGTTCGTTAGATTCCGAAACAGAGTTCAGTGGTGAAGGGGAGAGCGATCAAAGCAATTCTCTGACCGGAACAATTACCGCCGTGGTGGCAAAACAACTGCCTAATGGGTTGTTACTGGTGCAGGGTGAGAAGTGGTTTCAGCTCAATCGCGGGGAAGAATATGTTCGTGTGAGTGGTCTTGTTCGTCCGGAAGACATCAGCGCTGATAACTCTGTTTCTTCACAACGCCTGGCTGATGCACGTATTGCCTACAGCGGCACTGGCGAGATCGCGCAATCTAATCGTGCCGGCTGGCTGACACGATTCTTTGTTGGCACGGTAAATCCGTTTTAAAGAGTATTGATATGAAACGAACTATGGTTCCGATCGTTGCACTGATGTTGTTCAGTCTGCCTGTTGAGGCTACAACCCAGCGCATTAAAGACCTGGCTGATGTTTCTGGTGTTCGTGCTAACCAGCTTGTTGGCTATGGGTTGGTCGTAGGCCTGGATGGCAGTGGAGATCAAACCAGTCAGACGCCATTTACCGTGCAGACATTTAAGAACATGTTGCAGCAACTGGGTATTCAATTACCTCCGGGTTCGAATTTTCAATTAAAGAACGTGGCTGCTGTTGCCGTACATGCGGAACTATCGCCTTTTGCAAAACCAGGACAGACCCTTGATGTCACTGTCTCCTCTGTTGGTAATGCAAAGAGTTTGCGCGGTGGTACGTTGTTGGTGACGCCGTTAAAAGGCTTGAACAAGACAGTTTACGCGGTGGCTCAAGGCAGTCTCGTTGTTGGCGGCTTTGGTGCCCAGGGTAACGATGGTTCGTCAGTAACCGTAAACGTACCCAGTGTGGGTCGCATTCCCGGTGGTGCTCTGATTGAGCGTCCAGCGCCAGACGGTTTCAGCGGCGCTGAAAATATCGTGTTTAATCTGCATCGCGCCGATTTTACAACCGCGCGTAGAGTGGCAGAGAAGATCAACGATACTTTCGGGCCCGAAGTTGCACAAACTATTGATGCGGCGTCCATTAAGGTGCGTTCACCCAAGAATTCCACCCAACGGGTGTCGTTCCTGTCAGTTCTTGAAAACCTGGAAGTAGAGCCGGACGCCACCTCTGCCAAAGTGGTGATCAATTCCCGCACCGGAACCATCGTTATTGGACAGAAGGTCGTGGTTGCGCCTGCTGCGGTTACCCACGGCTCTCTAAGCGTGACGATTGCCGAAGATAATGAGGTTTATCAACCCAATGCCTTTGCCGGTGGTCAAACCGTAGTGGTTCCGGATTCAGAAGTTGAAATTGTCGAAGACAAAAACCGGATGTTCTATTTCGCACCTGGCGTCAATCTGCAGGACATTGTCAGTGCAGTTAACCAGGTAGGTGCTGCGCCAGGTGACCTGATGGCTATTCTCGAAGCGTTGCGCCAGGCGGGTGCACTGCGTGCTGAGCTCGTGGTGATCTAGTGAGCATATCAACACCGGATCTCAATCTCGGCTATGCCGACTATAACAAGTTGCCAGGGGCGCTAAAAAAGGATGACCCCGCTGCGCTGCAGAAAGCTGCTGAGCACTTCGAGAGTCTGTTCATTGATATGTGGTTGAAAAGCGCGCGCGAGGCCAATCAGGTCTTCGGCAAAGATAATTTCATGAACAGTAACGAGATGACTGCCCATCAGGAGATGCTTGATCACGAGATGGCATCCCACCTGTCGAAGCAGGGTGGTATTGGGCTCGCCCCCATTATTGTTGCGCAACTCAGCGGACAGCCGATGCCGATGAACCCCCAGGACAGTACACCTGCAGCACCTGTTACGCCGGTCGCGGCGCAATCAGATCAACCTCAAAAAGCCGGTAGAAAATCGGCTTTTACCACCCCCGAAGAGTTTGTACAGAAACTGAAACCCATTGTAGAAAGCGTTCTGGCGGGTAGTGGCCTGCCTGTCGACGCCGTGCTTGGTCAGGCCGCTTTGGAGACAGGCTGGGGACGACAGGTCATTGCAGATACCAAAGGACAGTTGAGCCACAATTTATTTGGTATTAAGGATCACACTAAAGGCGAAGACAGCGTTGCAATCCACAGCAGGGAGTTTGAGCATGGGCGCTGGGTAAATAAACAGGACAATTTTCGAGCGTACCCGGATTGGGCTGCGAGCGTTAAAGACTATGTGTCCACAATTACCCAATCACCGCGCTATGCCCACCTGGTAGAGAAGGTAGAGGACGCGATGGCGTATCTCTCCGGCTTACAGGAAGCGGGATATGCAACCGATCCTGATTACGCAGAAAAAATTGCCTCGCTTATACCCCGCGTTGAAAACGGAGGTCGGTAATGGCCTCGTTGTTTGATATCGGCATCAATGGTCTGCGTGCACAGCAGGCGGCTCTCAATGTGGTCGGTCAGAACATTACCAATGCCTCAACGCCAGGCTATACCCGGCAGCGTGCTGATCTTGTCACCCAGAGTGGCAGCCTATCGGGTCTGAACGCTGGGGCAGGCGCTAGACTTGATCAGATTGTTCGAGTCGCAGATACCTTTGTAGATCAACAGATTCGTACTGATTCAGCGCTGAAAAGTGAAATGGAAAGCTATGCGCAATTTGTGGGGCAACTCGAAACCACCCTATTTGATGGCGATTTTGGCGTTGATTCGGCCATACGCGAGTTCTTCGATGCGGTTCAGGATTCCGCCAATGAACCATCTGATCTTGCCATCAGACAGTTTGTTATCAGCAACGCTGACGCGCTTGCCAGCCGTTTCCAGGGCGTAACTGATCGAGCCTGGTTGCAGGCCAGAGACGTCAGCGGTTCACTTGAATCGAATACCAATCAGGTCAATGAGCTAACCCAATTGATCGTACAGGTGAACGATAGAATATCGGCACTGCAAAGTGGACCGGCGTCGGGTGGCTCAAACGCACTGTTAGATCGGCGCGAAAATCTGCTCAAGGACCTCTCGAAATTGGTTTCAGTGAGCACGGTCGAGCAAGATGATGGGCAGATAAATGTTTTCGTTGGCAAAGGCCAGCCGCTGATCCTTGGATCTGAAGCTGCTGAAATGGGCGTGTCCAGCGCTGGGGAAATCACTTTACGTCCAGTAGGGTCGCAAGTTACCCAGAACGTTACAGCTTCGATAAACGGTGGAGAAATTGGCGGCATCCTGAAGTATCGAGAGGAAGTGCTGTGGCCGACTCAGAATGAGCTTGGACGCCTGGCAGCTGCTATTTCGAGATCTTTCAACGATCAGCATGCCGCAGGTATAGATCTGGATGGTCAGTTTGGTCAGCAGTTCTTTCGCGACGTTAATGATCCCGCTCTTGTATCCCAACGTGTTTCCTATCTGGGTAATTCAGGGGCGCTTGGGCCAACTGCAAACCCAGGTCGGATCAGTGTGTATATAGAAGATCCTTTTGGCAGTGTGGCATCAGACTACGAAGTTCGCTTTTCAGAAACGAGTGATGGCGCGTATACCATCACCAGGCGCTCTGATGGCGAAGTTGTGCAGCGGGGTACACCATTTGTTACCCCTCACAGCGTTGAGTTTGATGGTCTACGGGTAGAGTTTACAGCCGGAGACTTTCGTCCCGGTGATGCAATGCTGTTGCGGCCTTATGCAGATTTTGGCAGTCAGCTGGAGGTTGTCTTAGATGACCCCAAAGCCCTTGCGTTAGGCTCACCGGTACAGTTAGCGGAAGACCCTACAAATGGCGGGAGCGGGTTTGTCAGTGTTGCAGGTATCACAGATCCTGCTCATCCCATATTCTCCAACGACGGCGAGATGGTCCCGCCGCTGCTCATTGATTTTCTGTCCGACACCCAATATCGGGTGCTGGATAATTCCGATCCCGGCAATCCTGTGCCGCTGCAGCCTGATCTGGGTATTCTTCAGTTCGTTCCAGGTGGCCAGAATCAGCTTCTGCCAGTAGATCCAGGTACTACTGTGGTGCAGATGTCCGGCCCTAACGTTTCATCACTTCCGGCAGTGGCTGAACTGGTAACTAATCTCGATGCCGCTGGGAATAACTACCCCGGGGGGCTGATTACGATTTCTGGTGAAGGAGATCGGCTGTCCAATTTGCCGGTGAATGCGGGTGCAAGCGCTGCTGAGATTGCAGCGCAACTCAATGGTGTACCCGGCGTTTATGCCTCCGCTCAGACAGAACTCACGCTCAGTCAGTTGGTGAATTTTGACTCCGGGGTGCCCGTCGAGATAGCGGTTAACGGGATCAGTTTTACGGGTTTTGAAAGCCTTGCTGACCTGGCGGATCAGATGGCAAGCGATGTATCGCTGCAGTCAGCGGGCATCATGGCAAAATCTGACGGGCAAACACTCACGCTGACTGACACCCGGGGAGCGGATCTATCGGTTCATTTTCAGGGTGACCCTAACGAATCAGTGCTGGTGACAAACAGTAAAGATGACACTGTTGCACTTTCAGGTAGCGTTTCAGGCACTTATAGATCTGTGACCGTTGGCGGTCAGGTAACGGCATTGCTCGACCCGGGAGTGACCATGTCGACGCAGTTTGCTGGCCTGTTTGCCGCAAACCCCGTGCAGCAGCGTGCTGATCTGGGTTTTGATCTTGTTTTAACCGGTACTGTTGAAGCAGGTGATCGATTCTATGCTGACTTCAACAACGGTGGACTCGGTGATAATCGTAATGCTCTGGCGCTGGCCGGCCTGAGCGATCGCAATCTGGTGGGTGATCCGGGCAGGTCATTCGGTGGTGCTTTTGCCTCTGTGGTCCAGAAGGTTGGTATCGCTTCGAACCAGGCAAGTATTAACAGAGACGCAGCCACGGCTTTATTGTCCCAATCTGAAGCTTTTCGTGAGTCTGTGTCTGGTGTAAATCTGGATGAAGAGGCGGCCAACCTGTTGCGTTATGAGCAGGCCTATAACGCGTCATCGCAGATCATTTCGGTTGCCAGAGATATTTTTAACATTCTTCTTAACGCGGTGAGCTAGGCTTAGTTATGCGTGTTTCTTCCTTTCAAATACATACTCAGGCTTCCGAACAACTGCAGACATTGGGTGCCCAGACAGCGCTGACACAGCAGCAGATCGGTGAAGGTAAAAAGCTGGTGCGACCAGGGGATGATCCTGTTGGTGCAGCCCGTGTGATCGGCATCAAGCAGGAGCTGGGTGCCAGGGATCAATTTGTGCGCAATACTGACGCCGCCGACGTTCAGCTGTCACTGGAAGAATCTACCCTTGCTCAAGTCACTGAGCTGATCCAGCGGGTTCAGGAGTTAACACTACAAGCAGGCTCAGGTGTACAAACCCAACAGGACCGCGCTTACATTGCTGCTGAAATCAGTGCGCGATTTGATGAGCTGATGTCTCTGGCAAACTCTCGGAACTCCAGCGGTCAGTATCTCTTCAGCGGGTTTAAAGGTGCGGTAGAGCCTTTCTCGTCCAATGGCAACGAAGTGGTTTATCAGGGTGATGCTGGACAGCGTAAGGTGCAGATTGATCGTGGTCAGTTTGTCGCGATCAACGACTCAGGCGAAAAGCTCTTCATGCAGGTGCCGATCGATGCGGTTGGCGCTGGCGTCGCCAGCGTGTCCAGTGAAACAGCGGGTATCAGTGACGTAAGGATTGTGGACCGTAGCCTCGCGGAGACGCTGTTTCCTGACAAAGTCGTGATTGAGTTTAATTCCCCTGCAGATGCGGGTGGGGTAGCCAACTACACCGTTAAAAGACAGAGTGACCAGCGCCCATTAGAAGGTCTGGTCAATATACCATTTGATGCCAGTGTTGAGCTCTCTGTTTCGGGTGTAGCATTTGCTATTCAGGGAACGCCGGTAGAAGGTGATCAGTTCATTATTGAGACAACCCGTCAGCAAAGTCTTTTCCAAACGGTTAAAGGCATAGCTGACGGGTTGGTAGAAGTAGATGCAGCGACCGATCCGGAAGCGTTTCGAAATCTCATAGATACGACAATTGCCGGTTTAGAGGGTGCGACAGATGTGATGCTCGAGGCGCGGGCAGATATCGGCGCACGATTCAATTCGCTAACGGCCGCTAAAAATCTGCATGAAGATGTTTCTTTGCAGCTTCAAACAGTACGATCTTCCATTGAAGATCTAGACTTTGCTAAAGCGATCAGCGATCTGGCCTATCAGTCGTTTGTGTTGGAAGCTGCGCAACAGAGTTTTGTTCGTATCAATAATCTGTCGCTCTTTAATCGCCTCTAGAAAATTGCGCCTGGCATGTTATTGCCAGGAACCGCGTCAAAATGTGATCTACTTCGCTAAAGTTTCTCCAGGGTATGCCGCTACGTAATGTGAGAACCCCTTTCCATGGTTCGCTAAAGCTTGGAAGGGATGTCTGAAAAAGCAAACGGAGTAGCAATAAATGCCTCAGGTAATTAATACCAACCTCAGCTCCCTCACGGCGCAGCGAAACCTGGACAATACGCAATCGCAGGGCTTATCTGCCTTGAACCGATTGTCGTCTGGTCTACGTATCAACAGCGCTAGAGACGATGCTGCTGGCCTCGCAATCAGTACCCGCTTCACAGCGCAGGTACGTGGTCTCGGTGTCGCCATTCGAAATGCCAATGACGGTATCTCGCTGGCGCAAACCGCTGAAGGTGCCCTTGGCGCCATGACGGAATCTTTACAGCGTCTACGTGAACTGGCACTGCAGTCGGCTAACGCCACAAACAGTGATTCAGATCGCCAGGCATTGAATGCAGAAGCCAGTCAGCTGATTGCTGAACTGGGACGCGTCAGTGACCAGACCAACTTTAACGGCCGTAAACTGCTTGACGGTAGTTTTGAATCAAGCGTTCAGATTGGCACCAACGTAGGTGAAACTGTCGCTTTCTCAATTGCTGAAGTCAGCACCTCCACCCTGGGTGGCGGTATCGGCGCAGGCATCAGTGCTGTTGGTAATGCTAACGCAATTGCCAATGGTGACCTGTCTATCAATGGTGTAGCCATTGGCCCATCATCTGCATCTGACGACACTGCATCTTCAGCGAATGCTGATGCGTCTGCTATATCGAAAGTAGCAACCATCAACCGTGTAAGCTCTGAAACGGGTGTTCGCGCTGAAGTTAACGACAACGTCGCTGCGGGTGTCGCTATAACTGCAGCTGCTGCAACGGGTTCAGTTGACATCAACGGCGTTTCTATCGCGTTAAGTACCACAGCAGACGGTGCAACCACGCGTTCCGCTGTTGTTACTGCAATCAACTCTGCCAGTGACCAAACAGGTGTCACAGCGGTTGACTCTGGTTCAGATAACGGTGGTGTAAACCTGGTGGCCGCTGATGGTCGTAACATCACGGTAGCATTCACTACGGTAACTTCCGCCTCAACGGGTATTGCTGCTGCAGGTACGTTTGAAGGTGGCTACACATTGATTTCTGAAGATGGCACTGACATCACAATCAGTGGCGGCGACGGCTCTGCGACGGGTAACGTAGCTAATGCGGGTCTTACAGCAGGCACCTTTGGTGGAACCACCGCAGGTGTAAGTAGTTCTGCGCAAGCGGGTGCTACGCTGAATTCATTGGTTGCTGGTGACCTGGTTATTAACGGTGTATCAGTGGGTGCCTCACAGGCAACCTCCGACACCGCGTCAAGCAGCGACAATGCAGCCTCTGGTATTGCAGTAGCTGCTGCTATCAATGCGGTCAGTGACCAGTCCGGTGTTTCCGCCACGGTTAACGAAACGGTACTGGTAGGTGGTACATCGCAGACGACGACGGGCGCCGTCACGGGTGCAATCACCGTAAACGGTGTAGCAACAACGGCTATCACAACCACTACTGACGGTGAAACGAACCGTACACTCGCTATTGATGCCATCAACGCAATATCTGGACGTACAGGTGTTGTGGCCAGTGATAACGGTACAACGTTGACCCTGAGTGCCGCTGATGGACGAAACATCAGTGTGCAGGTGGCATCTGCCGGTCTGGGAACAGATGTCGGTTTGAACGAAAGTGTGGACGGTATTGGCGCAGGTGAAGGTGTAACAAGCACCGTCACACTCAATTCTGCCAGCAGCTTCGAAATAAGCGGTGGCACTACCAATGGTGACTCCGGTGTCACAGATGTTGGTTTTGAGCAGGGTAACTTCGGTGGCGCAAGTGACGGTCAATTCCTCACGGAAGTGGATATTTCAACTGTTGCAGGCGCTGAGAAAGCGTTGTCTGCACTCGATAATGCCCTCGATGGTGTTAACCGTGAGCGAGCCAACCTGGGTGCTATCCAGAACCGTCTGGACTCCACCATTACCAGCCTGGCTATCAACGTTGAGAACCTGACCGCTGCGCGATCACGGATTCTGGACGCTGACTTTGCAAAAGAAACTGCCGAACTGTCGCGTACTCAGGTATTGCAGCAGGCCGGTGTGTCAATTCTGGCGCAGGCCAACGCTCAGCCTCAGTTAGCGTTGTCACTGCTTCAGTAAGCAAAAAGCTAATAATCAGGAACGGAACGGTTGGAGTAATAAATCAGCAACCGTTCCAATCCTGATCTAGCAAGCGAGGTTTCCGTAATGAGCAACATATACACCGTAGATAATACGCGTGCTGTTGTGACGGATAAAATCGTTACTAACACTGGCGGAGGCAAAGGACCGGCAAAGTCAGAGTCAGAAGGCGGCAAGAAACTGCCGTCGACTGAGCGCTTGGAAGCACCTGATACATCGCAACAGATGATCAAAGTGACGGAACAGCGCGCCGCACGTGTAGAAAAGGCAGTTGAGCAGCTCAACGAGTATGCTCAGTCTTTTCAGCGCGATCTTACGTTTTCATTGGACGAAGACCTGGATCGCACAATTGTTCGCGTAGTGGATCGAACCACTCAAGAAGTGATCCGTCAGATTCCTAACGAGACCGCCCTGCGGCTGGCACGGAATTTGAATGCCATCAATGAGATGAAACGGGTCGAAGAGATGGAACAGCTTCAGACAGCTGGTATCAGTGTCGAAGCAAGTTTGGGTTTGATCAATACGAGGATCTAGAGATATCCCTGACAGGCTTTAAGCCTGTCAGGGTGTTCTAATTATACTTATGGCTTCAATACAATCATTGGGTGTGGGTTCAGGACTCCTGACTTCCGACCTGGTCGAAGATATCATCGCTGCTGAAAGGGAAGGTACTGACCTTCGTCTGGATGCTAAGCGCGCAGAGTATGAAGCTAAAATTTCTGCTTTCGGCGCTGTTCGCAGCGGCATTGATGGTCTGTCTGCAGCGGTCCGCGATTTGGGCAGTTCAACATCGCTGTTAACCAATGTCGTTACTTCCAGCAACGAAAACGCGATTACAGCAAGCGCCAGTGCGACGGCTAAGCCAGGCATCCATACCGTTGAAGTGTTAGCCACAGCTCGAGCGCACACGCTTACCACCGGGCGATATGATTCCATAGACAGCGTGATTGGCAGTGGCACTATAGACGTCAGATTTGGTGCAACTGCGTTTGTGAACGGTAGTTACGACAATTTCACTGAAAACCCTGATCGAGCTTCTGGCCAGATCGTCATCGATAGTTCTAACAACACCGTGAGTGGCGTTCGAGACGCGATTAACGCTGCAGATCTTGGTGTGGTGGCCTCAATTGTTAACGACGGTGAGGGTTTTGTGCTGGTACTGACATCTGATCGTACCGGTGAAAACCAATCCATGGAACTGACCGTAACTGAAGATACGCCTGCCGGTTTGACGGCGCTGGATTTCAATCTGGCGAACAACACGCCGGGTACCAATATGACCCAGACCGTTGATGCTGACGATGCCATTGTCGTCATTGACGGTATTACGGTTTCCAGAGAAACCAATACGATTAACGAAGTTATTCCCGGTGTCACATTTTCGGCGCTTGGCAACAACGCCGGGGCGCCCGCAACAATATCAATTAATCAGGATACTCAAGCTGTCAGCGAAAAGATGCAGGCCTTTGTTGATGCGTACAATTCCATTAAAACGCTGACCGATGACCTGACTGATTTTGACGAAGAGAAAGGCATCGGTGCGTTGTTAACGGGTGATTCAACCGTACGTACCCTGATGTCGCAGTTACGCCGCTTCATGTCACGCAGTGTCATGGAGGTAGAGTCAAATTCACTGCGCGCTCTGGTAGACCTGGGTATTTCTACCAATCAGAACGCGGGTTTCCAGCTTCAGTTTGATTCAACTCAGTTTGCTCAAACGCTGTCAGCCAATCCATCCGATGTTTCAGCATTGCTAGCAGACCAGCGCCGCAGTTCGGATAACCAGATTGCGTTTGTCGGATTCCAATCTGCCACCCAGGCAGGCAGCTATATCGTAGATATCCAACAATCAGCTACTCAGGGAGCTTTAAGCGGTGTCAGTGTTGCCGGGCTCGACAGCGCAATCATCATCGACGATGAAAATGACAATTTATCGATTACCGTGGATGGGGTGAGTAGTGGCGCCATTACGCTGGCTCAGGGCAGTTATGCAGACGGTGCTGAACTTGCTGTCGAACTCCAGACGCAGATCAACCAGGATGCCGCGTTAAGAGCCGCTGGTGCAACGGTTGATGTCAGCTATGACGTGGACAGCCAGGCGTTACAAATTCGTTCAACTTCTTTTGGCAGCAGATCAACAATCGGTATTGATAGTGTAGATACAAATACAGTTGCCCAACTGGGCCTATCTGTTGTTGATGCCACGGCCAACGTGGGTACCGATGTGGAAGGCACGGTCAATGGTATCCAGGGTAACGGCGCTGGTCAGTTTTTATCGATACCCAATGGACCTGTACCTGCAACGTCCGGTTCCTATAATGGTTCAGTGCTCTCATCTTTTGAATCAGGTCCGTTGACAATCGATGGCAGCAATGGAAGTTTCCGTGTGAACATAGACGGCTTTCAATCAGGCGATATTGTTCTATCTCCGGGCGAATACGCAACGCCAGCTGAGCTTGCAGCGGAAATGACGAGCCAGGTCAATGCCGACGCATTGCTACTCGCTGGAGAGGTGACGGCCACTGTTTCCTATGATGCTGCCAACAATCGATTCGAAATTTCTTCAGACAGTACCGGTCCTTCATCAACCGTTAACGTCACCTCCGTCAGCGCGGGTGTAGTTTCTGATCTCGGATTAACGGTTGGACTGGGCACTGCTGGTCGGCCGGCTGCTGAAACAGCTGACCCGGCAGCAGGCATACAGCTGAGGGTGCAGGGTGAAGCAGTGGGTGAAAGGGGTACCGTTACGCTGGTGCGTGGTGTGATGAATCAGATTGATTCCTTTCTAGATCAGTTCATTACGTTTGGTGGCTCGTTAGCGAATAAGCTTGATTCTCTGGAAGGCCAGGTCGAAGCCGTTGATGACGAAGCTACCGATTTTGCTAAGCGTATGGATCTGCTTGAAGCGCGCCTGCGTACTCAGTTTGCTGCAGCGGATGCGCTAATTTCTACCTTGGACAACACGTCACAATTTTTAGATCGGCAACTTTCGAGCCTGCCTGGATATTCGCGCGAGTCGAATTAAAGTTAGTCAGGGTCCGGCCGTTAACTAATCTATCTACACAATCGGAATAACAACGTGAACAGCCCTGTTAAGCAATATCATCAATTAGACGTTGAAACCTCTGTCGAGGCCGCTTCTCCCCACCAGATTATCGACATGCTTTTCAGCGGTGCGAGAGACCGGATAAAACAGGCACAAGGATATATGTTGAGAAACGATCAGGCGGGAAAAGCGAAAGCGATTAACGCCTGCGTTGAAATTCTCAGTGGTCTGCAAGCCTCTCTCGACCATGAGAAAGGTGGAGATATCGCGGCGAACCTTGAGAGTCTCTATGATTATATGCAGCGACGTTTATTTCGCGCCAATGTCGACAACGACGTTGAAGGTCTTGTTGAAGTAGGGGACCTGCTGGCAACGCTGCGTTCTGCCTGGAAAGCCATCGATCCTAATTCCAGTGCGCAATAAGCTCACGCACTGCCATGACCCATTTAGAATTAGCGCTCAACCGCATAAAAGAAATAGAAGCCGCTGTTGCTGCAGGTGATCTTGAAGCAGCCAATGTTGCGGCGCAACAACTGACTCCGTTGCTTGTGAGCAATAACATAGATGAATTACTGTCGATTCGTGATCGAATCGAAACTCTGACTCTGGGTGTCAAAGCACTGCAATCTGCAGACCTTGGGCAGCTGCGAGGGATCCAGCAACAACGGGGTGGTGCCGAGGCGTATCAGGCTATGCAGCAGGGTGCTTTCTAGCAGGCTTCCTTCTGTCCAGAAGCTCTGTTAACCCCGTTACCGTTCTTGCTCGCCTGTTAAGTGATTGTTTTCTGACGCTTTTGCCAGCGCGACCGTCGGAAATTTGACCAATTCCAATTCTCTTACTTTACTTCCTTCATGTAGAGCATCTGCCAATGTGTTTGGCAGGCGCAAAATCTTTTTTGGTTGTGGCCCAGCAGGCTTAACTGAAATGTAGAGGAAGGATTCGTTGGTTATGCAAGAGCAATCGAAAGAAGGGTTCTGCGTTGGTGTAGACATCACCGACGCCGCGCAGTCAGAATTGGTCCAGACACTCCTGCAGTTTGCAGAAATACCGGTTGTCGTTGATCCGTTGCAGGCGGATGCAGTCTTTGGCGATGGTACTCATGCGGCTGATTATCCGGTCTATGTTTATTTACAGGCTCAGCCGACGCCGGGCAGCTCGCGTATCTGCGCAGACTTGCGTGTGAGTTCAATTATGGCCGCTCTGGCACAATGTCAAAGCCTGCTGACGCAGAATCTCAGACATCCGGAAAGCGGCTCTGTTTTCAGTCGTTTTGTTGGCGTTAGTGACGCAGCAGTGGACACCCGAGCGCAGATGGCTGCGGCTGCAGGTAAAGATGTGACTGTTCTTGTTACAGGTGAATCTGGTACAGGCAAAGAAGTGGTTGCGCGTGCTTTGCACGCAGGTTCGCGACGCGAATCAGGGCCGTTTGTACCAGTGAACTGCGGTGCAATTCCGGCTGAGTTGTTAGAAAGTGAACTGTTCGGTCATGAAAAGGGTGCCTTTACTGGTGCCATTTCTCAGAAGACCGGCAGGTTTGAACTCGCTCACGGCGGCACTCTCTTCCTGGATGAAATTGGCGACCTGCCTTTTCCTATGCAGGTCAAAGTGCTGCGTGCAATTGAACAGAAAAGCTTCGAAAGGGTAGGCGGCGTGAATACGCGTGTCAGCGATGTGCGTATCGTTGCAGCAACTAACAAAAATCTCGAAGCGTTGATCGAAAGCGGGGATTTCAGAGAGGATCTTTATTACCGCCTAAACGTCTTTCCAATTGAACTCGCTCCTCTACGTCATCGCGCAGAAGATCTGCCGTTACTGGTTAATACCCTGACCGGACGTATTCAGACCGAGCAGGGGTTGCATGTGCGTCTGTCGGTGGATGCGCTTGCTATCCTGGGTCAATACAATTGGCCAGGTAACGTTCGCGAATTGGCTAACCTTTTACAGCGCCTGGCAATACAGTATCCCCACGCCCTGGTCAGATCTCAGGACCTGCCCAAAAAATATACAGAATCGTTACCTGCCAAGACGATGAAGTCGCCGCTACCTGTGGCTGGTAACTTGCCAGACGACAACGAGGTGCTACTTCCCGTCAACGGCATCGATCTGAAAGACTATCTGGCACGTTTGGAAAAAAGCTTGATCGAGCAGGCGCTGGAAGACACCAATGAGGTGGTTGCCAGAGCTGCGGATCGACTGCATATACGTCGCACCACATTGGTCGAGAAAATGCGCAAACATGGGCTGGGCCGTGTTGGAGACAGCGTCTGATGATACCTGTGTATTGTGGGCAGCAGGCTCAGGAAGCCGCACGACTGTACGATGGTTTGTGTGCCAGTGGTATATCGGCAAAGTTGATAGACAGTCTGGAGGGTGGTGTTGATGAATCTAACGACATCGCGCTTGTTCCAGCTGCGGATGTTGCACGTGCGCGGTCAATTCTGAATGTCAGTCGAATAATAGCATTTGGCGGTGCAGACAAAGCGGAGAACGCGGTGCGCACGCTACAGCAGGGTGCCGCAGAATATCTGCCGTTGGGCGCCGGACCGCAAAAAGTTTCCGCCTCGATCAAACCCGCTGCAACTGAACATAAAGTATTCGGTAAAAGCGTTGCAACGCCGGTGTCCAGTAACCTGGTAGCAAGCGATGCCATGCAGAACATCATGAGTTTGGCTCAACGCGTTGCTCAAGCAGATATAGCAGTGATGATCTCGGGTGAGAGCGGAACAGGTAAAGAGGTCATGGCGCGACAGATTCATGCCTGGTCACCTCGTGCCCAGGGACCCTTCGTGGCCGTGAACTGTGCGGCGATACCCGAAACGATGCTGGAAGCGGTACTTTTTGGTCATGATAAAGGTGCGTTTACTGGCGCAGCTGAGAAGCGGCTGGGTAAATTTGAATTGGCCGATGGCGGTACTTTATTGCTCGACGAAATTACGGAAATGCCTTTCGCTCTGCAAGCCAAGCTCCTGCGAGTATTGCAGGAAAAAGAAGTTGAACGCATTGGTAGCCCGAAACCTACTAAAGTTGATGTGCGTGTGCTTGCTACCAGCAACCGGGAGTTACGTAAGGCAGTAGCTGATGGCATCCTGCGGGAAGATTTGTTTTACCGTTTGAGCGTATTTCCTCTCCACATCCCACCTTTGCGTGATCGACGCGAAGATGTGCTGCCTCTTGTGCAAACGTTTCTCGGCAAATATGCCACGGATCAGGATCTGTCGCTTTCTATTGAGGCCCAACAACTGCTAACTGCACATGATTGGCCAGGTAACGTAAGAGAACTGGAAAACAGCATACAACGTGCGCTGGTCCTAAAAACAGGCGCTGTGTTGGTTCCTGACGATTTTGCTTTGGAGCAGGTATCAGGTGATAGCCATGGCGCATCAGATGAACGCCAGGCAGAAGCGCCAAATACGTCGCTGCAGGATCAGCTGCGGGAGTCTCAAACCCAGCTCCTGCTTGAAACGATGGAGACCTGTGGAGGTGTTCGCAAAGACATGGCGGCACAACTGGGTATATCTGAACGTACGCTGCGTTACAAACTCAAGGCGCTGCGTGATCGTGGTCTACTGAATTAGGAGGTGATTATGGATATTCGTGCAACATCGTCGAACGCTGATATAAACGCCGTTCTGCAACAGATGCGGCAGATAAGGGATCAATCAAAGCAGATTGATCATCTAACGCCAGCAGCGCTTGATCGTGCAAACCCGACAAAAGACACGAGTCGTGCAGACTTTGGTGGTGCGTTGAAGGGCGCAATAGATACGGTTAATCAACTTCAGCAAACATCCAGCGCATCGCAGACAGCGTTTGCCACCGGTGCTGAAAACAATCTTGTGAAGGTGATGATTGATTCGCAGAAGTCCAGTGTGGGTTTTCAGGCGATGGTGCAGGTGCGCAATCGCATGGTTACCGCTTATCAAGACATCATGAAGATGCCTATTTAGTTTTGGCTGTGGAGTAAACAATGGCCGAGTTACCCGTTCAATCACCTGTAACCGCTCTGGATTCTCCAGGGCTGCCGGGTGGCAATTTCATCCGTGGCGCGGTGGGTATGCCGGTGGTACGTCAGGTCACCTTGCTGATTGCCCTGGCTGCAAGTGTGTCACTGGGTGTATTTGCCACTCAGTGGATGCAGGACGATACCTACAAACCCCTGGGTACGCCGGTTTCGGCAGCGCAGACCAGCGAAATAGCACAAACGTTAGAAGACAATCTGATCGACTATCGTCTTGATCCTAACAACGGGATGGTGCTCATCGAGGCGCAGGACCTGCATCGTGCGCGTATGCTGCTGGCTGGTGCCGAATTACTGGGTAACGGCAAGGTTGGTTACGCCCTGCTGGATGAAGAGCAGGGGTTTGGTGTCAGTCAGTTTATGGAGAATGCCCGTCACCGACGTTCTGTTGAAGGTGAGTTAGCAAAAAATATTGAAGTCATTACCTCGGTCCAGAGTGCTGCGGTATTGCTCGCCACGCCTAAAACCAGTTCCTTTATCCGTGATAGACGTAAGCCCAGTGCCTCTGTAACGGTCACGCTTAAGCCTGGCCGTACGCTGGACAGTGCGCAGATTCGCGGCATCACCAATCTGGTTGCAGGCGCTGTGCCTGAACTGGCAGCGGCTGATGTGGTTGTAGTTGACCAGTCAGGGTTTTTATTGTCAGAAGGTTCTGAAGACCGTAGCTTGCGACGCAGTCAGCAGGACATGGCATTGGTTCGTGCGCATGAACAGGCTTTGCAGTCGAAAATTTCGAATATCCTGACACCGTGGATCGGCGGCGATCGCTTCTCTGCGGAAGTCAACGCGACTATGGATTTCACCCGATCTCAGGAATCTGAAGAACTTTATAACCCTGATCTGGTTGCGCTGCGCAGCGAACAACGCAGCGAAGAGCAAAATGTGGGTGCCAACCAGATTGCTGCTGGCGTGCCCGGTACGTTATCGAATCAGCCGCCGGAATTTGGCGCTGTGAATGAAG